ATGAGCGGTATTTATAACCGGTTAACTATAAGCTTTGACAACCACCGTCAGTATCAAATTTCACACTATTATTTGATCTTATCCGAATTCTTTGCTGATTTGGTACGGATTTAATTGTTAAAATTTACTGTCCATTTTCTTCTTCAAATTCAACCACAGTACAAAGATTACACTATTTTTATTGACTAATATAAAATTTAAAAGTTTAAGTATTCCTGATGCAAATTTTGAGCACAGCGTGAAATTTTAATAACTTTTCTCCGTTCAATGAACAATTAAACGTGCACTTGTATAAAGTAAATTGACAAGTAGTTTATATATATATATATACCAAATTTGTAATGAATTTGTATAAAACAGGCTACGTGGAAGTAGACTATTTGTTTATAAAATGTTTTTTAATGTTTTGTAAACGTGAAGCGATCCTGATAAGAAAAAGTGTCCTCGTGTATTGCTTACCCGCGGTGATAGCCACGTAACACGTCTATCGCAGTACAATAGTCTTGTGCATTAGGGTTTGGTACTTTTTCAATCCACTTTTTCGCCAATGTTATCTCGCTTTACTTGGATACAAATAAGATTGATTTGAATTACATTTCATTCCACTCTCACACCGTATTATCTACCCTGAGTTATACAGGAATCCTGATTGTAATGAATTTGTCACGTTTAAATGTCAGTAACAAAATCAGCGAAGATATCTATTTGAACATTTTTGATAAATCATACTTTAATTTCCCTTTCTGCGCCTCTAATGTATCCGTCAATATTTAAACACTATATAATCATAACGAAATCAATTTTCAAATCTGCCTAAGTTAAGATATTTGAGGCACCATAAGGGTTTACCGCAAATCACCATGACTTTATTATAAAGTTTGTAACATCTGTCACTGGAATGATAGATAGATATATCGATCTACAGATGTACGACGTACAAATAAAACGGTGATATGGATTAGAAGAGATGAAATATCTGCAGTTGTTTCACAAGTTTTACAAGTGCCTAGGACGAGGAGGAGCGAAGGGGAATGTGGGGTTGATGAGAAAGACGGGTTGGGATAGTGCGGGATAGGCATTCCCCTTTATCTCGATGTCGACCTCTCTAGGTGGAGGTCGTCGTAGACGTATTATCATCGTCGGTTGTACCTAGTTTGTTTAAGAAATAAAAACGGTTAAATTTCTCGGACTTTTGTGTTTTTCTGTAACCGAGTGCAATGTCATTCTGCTATCTAAAGGTTATGACATTAACATCCGGGAACTCTTCTGACTTAGTAAATCACGAGGAGGCCAAACAAACAACATAATAAACAATGACGCGTCATTTTTGCAGTTCGATTAAACATTTATGGAACACACCTTACTGTGTCTTGCTGTCCGTGTATACGTTATTATACGTGTACCTTACTGTGTCCTGCTGTCCGTGTATACAATATTATACCTTACTGTGTCCTGCTGTCAGTGTATACGTTATTACACCTTACTGTGTCCTGCTGTCCGTGTATACATTATCATACCTTACTGTGTCCTGCTGTCCGTATATACGTTATTATATCTTACTGTGTCCTGCTGTCCGTGTATACGTTATTATACCTTAGGGTGTACTGCTGTCCGTGTAAACGTTATTACACCTTACGGTGTCCTGCTGACCGTGTATACGTTATTATACCTTACGGTGTCCTGCTGTCCGTATATACGATATTACACCTTACGGTGTCCTGCTGTCCGTGTATACATTATTACATCTTACGGTGTCCTGCTGTCCGTGTATACATTATTACACCTTACGGTGTCCTGCTGTCCGTGTATACGTTATTACACATTACGGTGTCCTACTGTCCTGTCCGTGTATACGTTATTATACCTTACGGTGTCCTGCTGTCCGTGTATACATTATTACACCTTACGGTGTCCTGCTGATCGTGTATACATTATTACACCTTACGGTGTCCTGCTGTCCGTGTATACATTATTACATCTTACGGTGTCCTGCTGTCCGTGTATACGTTATTACATCTTACGGTGTCCTCCTGTCCGTGCATATGTTATTATACCTTACGGTGTCCTGCTGTCCGTGTATACATTATTACACCTTACGGTGTCCTACTGTCCTGTCCGTGTATACGTTATAATACCTTATGGCGTCCTGCTGTCCTGTCCGTGTATACGTTATTACACCTTACGGTGTCCTCCTGTCCGTGCATATGTTATTATACCTTACGGTGTCCTGCTGTCCGTGTATACATTATTACATCTTACGGTGTCCTGCTGTCCGTGTATACATTATTACACCTTACGGTGTCCTGCTGTCCGTGTATACGTTATTACATCTTACGGTGTCCTGCTGTCCGTATATACGATATTACACCTTACGGTGTCCTGCTGTCCGTGTATACATTATTACATCTTACGGTGTCCTGCTGTCCGTGTATACATTATTACACCTTACGGTGTCCTGCTGATCGTGTATACGATTATTACATCTTACGGTGTCCTGCTGTCCGTGTATACGTTATTACATCTTACGGTGTCCTCCTGTCCGTGCATATGTTATTATACCTTACGGTGTCCTGCTGTCCGTGTATACATTATTACACCTTACGGTGTCCTGCTGATCGTGTATACATTATTACACCTTACGGTGTCCTGCTGTCCGTGTATACATTATTACATCTTACGGTGTCCTGCTGTCCGTGTATACGTTATTACATCTTACGGTGTCCTCCTGTCCGTGCATATGTTATTATACCTTACGGTGTCCTGCTGTCCGTGTATACATTATTACACCTTACGGTGTCCTGCTGATCGTGTATACATTATTACACCTTACGGTGTCCTGCTGTCCGTGTATACATTATTACACCTTACGGTGTCCTACTGTCCTGTCCGTGTATACGTTATAATACCTTATGGCGTCCTGCTGTCCTGTCCGTGTATACGTTATTACACCTTAAGGTGTCCTACTGTCCTGTCCGTGTATACGTTATTATACCTTATGGTGTCCTGCTGTCCGTGTATACGTTATAATACCTTATGGCGTCCTGCTGTCAGTGTATACGTTATTACACCTTACGGTGTCCTGCTATCCGTGTATACGATATTATACCTTACGGTGTCCTGCTGTCCGTGTAAACGATATCATACCTTACGGTGTCCTGCTGTCCGTGTATACGTTATTATACCTTACGATGTCCTGCTGTCCGTGTATACGTTATTACACCTTACGGTGTCCTGCTGTCCGTGTAAACGATATCATACCTTACGGTGTCCTGCTGTCCGTGTATACGTTATTACACCTTACGGTGTCCTGCTGTCCGTGTATATGTTATTATACCTTACGGTGTCCTGCTGTCCGTGTATACGTTATTACACCTTACGGTGTCCTGCTGTCCGTGTATACGTTATTATACCTTACGGTGTCCTGCTGTCCGTGTATACGTTATTATACCTTACGGCGTCCTGCTGTCCGTGTATACGCTATTATACCTTACGGTGTCCTGCTGTCCGTGTATACGTTATTACACCTTACGGTGTCCTGCTGTCCGTGTATACGTTATTATACCTTACGGTGTCCTGCTGTCCGTGTATACGTTATAATACCTTATGGCGTCCTGCTGTCAGTGTATACGTTATTACACCTTACGGTGTCCTGCTGTCCGTGTATACGATATTATACCTTACGGTGTCCTGCTGTCCGTGTAAACGATATCATACCTTACGGTGTCCTGCTGTCCGTGTATACGTTATTATACCTTACGATGTCCTGCTGTCCGTGTATACGTTATTACACCTTACGGTGTCCTGCTGTCCGTGTATACGATATTATACCTTACGGTGTCCTGCTGTCCGTGTATACGTTATTACACCTTACGGTGTCCTGCTGTCCGTGTATATGTTATTATACCTTACGGTGTCCTGCTGTCCGTGTATACGTTATTACACCTTACGGTGTCCTGCTGTCCGTGTATACGATATTATACCTCACGGTGTCCTGCTGTCCGTGTATACGTTATTATACCTTACGGCGTCCTGCTGTCCGTGTATACGTTATTATACCTTACGGTGTCCTGCTGTCCGTGTATACGTTATTACACCTTACGGTGTCCTGCTGTCCGTGTATACGTTATCATACCTAACGGTGTCCTGCTTTCCGTGTATACGTTATTACAAATTACGATGTCCTGCTGTCCGTGTATACGTTATTATACCTTACGGTGTCCTGCTGTCCGTGTATACGTTATTACACCTTACGGTGTCCTGCTGTCCGTGTATACGTTATTATACCTTACGGTGTCCTGCTGTCCGTGTATACGTTATTACACCTTACGGTGTCCTGCTGTCCGTGTATACGTTATTATACCTTACCTCACGGTGTCCTGCTGTCCGTGTATACGTTATTATACCTTACGGCGTCCTGCTGTCCGTGTATACATTATTATACCTTACGGCGTCCTGCTGTCCGTGTATACGTTATTATACCTTACGGCGTCCTGCTGTCCGTGTATACGTTATTACACATTACGGTGTTCTGCTGTCCGTTTATAAGTGATGGTTTTAATGATATACAGAAGATTCAGGAATCTATTGATTTCATCTTTGCCGGATTATTCAACATCCTGAAAGTGAAAGTAAATTCATGTTATGTTAATCAGCGTTTTACTTTGGTCGCAGTAAACATATATTTGTAAGTATTTTTTTCTGATTTTCGCGGGTAAAATTGCTTCCATTACATTGCTGGATCATAGAATTTGACAAGTAAACTGATGTTATTATATTATATTCAACGTTCATGGCGCGGAATTTCACCTATGTCATTGCATCATACTATTTGTAAAATAGAAATCGCTTCTTAAAAAAACAAATTGTAAATAAAGTACATATACTGCTGTGTGCAGACTGACACACAACAAGAATGAAATATCCAGTATTGTGTAAAAGGTTGTTTCCCCTCGTACTTCTAGGTGCATGGTGACAGACGACCGAACACAGTTTCCATTGAAATGGGTCGGGAGAACCTTCAAGATCCGGATTTCATACAGATATTAGATCCACCGGAAGTGGTCTTGAATGGGATGTGGCTTACGGTAGAATACCGCTGTTCAACAGACAGAATAATTGGACTTGAAGTAACTGGAAGTGTAGGCATAGTCAAACAGACTAGAGACCCGGAAAGAAAATTGTTTAGTAAGGCATGGAAGTGTAATCCGGAAAATAAAAATATAAAGAAAAAACGGGTGAGGTTAAAATTTCCGGATAGTGTTGCGTTTAGACCCGATTTATTTAATACACGTGTAAAATTTGTAAATTCGCCAAAATTAAAAGCATGGAATTTGGATCCAATATGGTGGCCAAACTGCCGGAAGTACCACAATGCATTCTGGAGAGCGAAAGTGAAAGTTTCATATGATATAAACATGCCTTCTCCATATGTTCGACCGTCCAAAGCTGGATTCAACTCCTGTCCGAAGTGGCCTTTGCTTATCTTATCAGAGGTTCAAGTGAAGAAAATAGAGATGTGCCGAAAAGAACCAGGTAAAATAAGTATGCCGAGCTATCAGTCACATGTGTCCTGGTATAAATAGAGAACATTGTATATATACTATTTATAAAATATATAGACAAATATTGTACACATGACACAGAGAGTTAGATACAGTAGAACCAGACAAAGAGTTAAACTTCATCATACAAATATTTCGTCCTTCTAGGACTCGTCAGTGATGCTACGTCATACAGCTATTTCGTCCTTCTAGGACTCGTCAGTGATGCTACGTCATACAACTATTTCGTCCTTCTAGGACTCGTCGATGCATAAGAGACTAAATCTTGAATTCTAGTCAAATATAGAGTTACATGTAATGCCTATTTTGATCTCTTGACCTGTCAAAAAGAAAAAAAAAAGACGCTGACATTTACATCAATTTTCACAGAGTTACTATATTTCAGAATACATCCACGTTATCAACTTCCCTGTTGCAATTAATGGACTTTCTTACGGAGTTGTACGGAAATTCCCGAAGTATACCGACGATACTCTAGAAAATGCACGGAAAAGATCTTTTAGGAAACCTATGTAAGTGCCAAAAATAGATGTTTATCAATTGATTTTTTTAACAATCGATTAAGAAAAATGTAAGGTCATTACAAAATCAAAATGACAACTTATCAACAGGATTTTACCATATTATGTTTGAAATGTAAGGTAGTTAACTGTTTTATCTCCCTGATCGTTTTGGGGACGTTTTATCATTCAAATTATTACCCCTTAACAACATGACCTGGTAAACGATGTGATTACATTCATAAAGAAAATCAATTTTATTACCATTATTACCACATTTTTCTTATTAATTATTTTCGAAAATGAGAAATTCAACACAATCTCAATTAGAAAGAAACATCACTCTCACGCGAATCTGTGTTTGTGTACGTGATGTTTACCTCACACTGATATGTTACAGACCCTGTCTATGTGGATCTTTACCTCACACTGATATGTTACAGATCCTGTCTATGTGGATCTATACCTCACACTGATATGTTACAGATCCTGTCTATGTGGATCTTTACCTCACACTGATATGTTACAGATCCTGTCTATGTGGATCTTTACCTCACACTGATATGTTACAGATCCTGTCTATGTGGATCTTTACCTCACACTGATATGTTACAGACCCTGTCTGTGTGGATCTTTACCTCACACTGATATGTTACAGACCCTGTCTATGTGGATCTTTACCTCACACTGATATGTTACAGACCCTGTCTATGTGGATCTTTACCTCACACTGATATGTTACAGACCCTGTCTATGTGGATCTTTACCTCACACTGATATGTTACAGACACTGTCTATGTGGATCTTTACCTCACACTGATATGTTACAGACCTTGTCTATGTGGATCTTTACCTCACACTGATATGTTACAGACCCTGTCTATGTGGATCTTTACCTCACACTGATATGTTACAGACCCTGTCTATGTGGATCTTTACCTCACACTGATATGTTACAGACCTTGTCTGTGTGGATCTTTACCTCACACTGATATGTTACAGATCCTGTCTATGTGGATCTTTACCTCACACTGATATGTTACAGACCTTGTCTATGTGGATCTTTACCTCACACTGATATGTTACAGACCCTGTCTATGTGGATCTTTACCTCACACTGATATGTTACAGACCTTGTCTATGTGGATCTTTACCTCACACTGATATGTTACAGACCCTGTCTATGTGGATCTTTATCTCACACTGATATGTTACAGACCTTGTCTATGTGGATCTTTACCTCACACTGATATGTTACAGACCTTGTCTATGTGGATCTATACCTCACACTGATATGTTACAGATTCACCCTGTCTATGTGGATCTTTACCTCACACTGATATGTTACAGACCCTGTCTATGTGGATCTTTACCTCACACTGATATGTTACAGACCCTGTCTATGTGGATCTTTACCTCACACTGATATGTTACAGACCCTGTCTATGTGGATCTTTACCTCACACTGATATGTTACAGATCCTGTCTGTGTGGATCTTTACCTCACACTGATATGTTACAGATCCTGTCTATGTGGATCTTTACCTCACACTGATATGTTACAGACCCTGTCTATGTGGATCTTTACCTCACACTGATATGTTACAGACCCTGTCTATGTGGATCTTTACCTCACACTGATATGTTACAGACCCTGTCTATGGTGGATCTTTACCTCCCACTGATATGTTACAGATCCTGTCTATGTGGATCTTTACCTCACACTGATATGTTACAGACCCTGTCTATGTGGATCTTTACCTCACACTGATATGTTACAGACCCTGTCTATGTGGATCTTTACCTCACACTGATATGTTACAGATCCTGTCTATGTGGATCTTTACCTCACACTGATATGTTACAGACACTGTCTATGTGGATCTTTACCTCACACTGATATGTTACAGACCCTGTCTATGTGGATCTATACCTCACACTGATATTTTACAGACCCTGTCTTTGTGGATCTTTACCTCACACTGATATGTTACAGATCCTGTCTATGTGGATCTATACCTCACACTGATATGTTACAGACCCTGTCTATGTGGATCTTTACCTCACACTGATATGTTACAGATTAACTCGGTCTATGTGGATCTTTACCTCACACTGATATGTTACAGACCCTGTCTATGTGGATCTTTACCTCCATTGATATGTTACAGATCCTGTCTATGTGGATCTTTACCTCCATTGATATGTTACAGATTCACCCTGTCTATGTGGATCTATATACTGGATTACTGTAAGTTCTCTAGCAATGGGCTGTGCAGTCTGATGTATCACGTGACTTGGAACTCCACATTCCTCTCTCCACTGGTCTTTATTAACAGGAAAGGTAAGCATTGTTTGACTAACGAGCGCAATCATCGACCCGGTTCTTTTGATTCACACTGACTGGATCGATAAAGAAAATGCACATACTCGTGGAGAGTAATACTTTAAATTGCTCGGTTGTTTCAATAATCAGATTTGTGATATAATAACAACATTTAATAAAAAAAAAACATATACCTTAGACTAAAACGTTTCCAAACATAGCAAACTATAGGGTTTAAACAAAAGCAATCTTGAAATCTTGATTTTTGGAAGTTTCAATTTAAGGCAAATGTTACTTATCATGAGAAGGTACATTTTTTATCAATCAAATTATCTAGTTTAATTAACGAATTTCTAACAAGATGAAAGCTGGTGGATTATCTTAATATTGATTTAATCTTCGGTTGGAACAATATATGAGAAATGAAACTGTTATTTCAAGGTTTTTTTTATAAAGGGGCTAAATACGTCTGTATTTTGTTAAATTCACTCTGGTGACTTGCTGAAAATACACGACGTGAAAAGAAACGCTATAATTTTTTCTCTCTTCTGGAAAAAAAATGTGTTTAAGTTGCAATCCATTATCAGTAACCTATAATATTATATATTTTTAAAATACTTCACCAGGCTGGGGATAGGGGTTAGGGGGACCTATAATACAGTCAGGAATAAATGAGTAACTTCAAAAATGCATTTCTTTATTGTTTCGGTTGAACTTTGAACTACAGGACAGCTACATATTCAGATGAGCCAGGAGAATTGGCAGACCCTTGCGGCAGTTACCGACCTCACTGTACCTCGCAAGCAGTGGTTCCGGCTTGTACTGTGCTTCGCCGGAAATGAGGTACATGGTTGATTTCAATAGCACCAAAGCGTATGGTTAATTCAGGGAAATCTAGGTGATATCCTGCCTCTATCAAAACAAATGTCCCGCTTAATTAAAGAAACTATTGAACTTTTTTTATCATATTCTGTTTTCGTATTTGTATTTTTAATTTCAGTGGAAGTTGACTATCACACAAGGGAAATATTTCAATGAAACGACTAGAACCTCATACAAGTAAGTATTACAGATACATTTTCTGTGTGGGATACTGAGATAATGATTTGTAAATCATTTAAACGAAGAGAAGAAGCATTGTTCACTCCGACACTTGACAATTAAGATGGACTAGGGCTCCATCAGATTTAAACACGTGCTCAAAAAGATGAAAGTTAGCTAACATACAATTAAAAAATTTCTTTAGAAAACACGGTTTTAGTTTTTATTTAAAAGTTTACCATATCTCCGGAATAATGCATGTTCTTGAATTAGATAATTGTATGAAGATTTTTCGAAGAATGATAAATCATTTTTTCTAAAAATCAAATTGAGCGAACAAGAAAAAAAATCGCACGACCTTCTCACAAGTTTGTATATTTAATCTCGTTAACACGACCTTCTCACAAGTTTGTATATTTAATTTCGTTAACACGACCTTCTCACAAGTTTGTATATTTAATCTCGTTAACACGACCTTCTCACAAGTTTGTATATTTAATCTCGTTAACACGACCTTCTCACAAGTTTGTATATATAAACTCGTTAACACGACCTTCTCACAAGTTTGTATATTTAATCTCGTTAACACGACCTTCTCACAAGTTTGTATATATAAACTCGTTAACACGACCTTCTCACAAGTTTGTATATTTATATAAACTCGTTAACACGACCTTCTCACAAGTTTGTATATATAAACTCGTTAACACGACCTTCTCACAAGTTTGTATATATAAACTCGTTAACACGACCTTCTCACAAGTTTGTATATATAATCTCGTTAACACGACCTTCTCACAAGTTTGTATATATAAACTCGTTAACACGACCTTCTCACAAGTTTGTATATATAAACTCGTTAACACGACCTTCTCACAAATTTGGATATTTTATCTCGTTCTTACTACCGTTTATCTCATTCCTTCATGACCTTTTTTTTCTGAAAAGTTTTACAAATAAACTTTACTACCATTTGACACGGTTTAGGCATTAAAGAAATAAACTGGCATTATTTGCACCATTACCAGAGTTCCCGGAGTCACATATATGGACGACACGGAGGGACTGTTTGTATTGGGCGCGTTCGATTCGATACCTTCCTTTAAAGGGTATATCGGACAGGCGACGTTCTACCGGAACAGACTACGACAGCCTGAGGAGGTACTAATGTCTTATAGTTTATAACCTGCTGTGTAAAATACATCCTTATTTTAAAAAATATGTCGTCAAAATCCATCTGAATATTGCACATTTCTACTTATGATTTGTTTTCGGCTACAATGGTCCTTTGTGGATATCTACCTAATAAGTGCTGTGTTAATGAGGTTTACCGTATTTTTTGTCTGTAGCGTCTACGTGATATAGATTTGTAGTCGTACCTACAATCGTTAGCTTTTAGTTATTTTCCCTATGTAATGCAAGCTTATTATAGGACTATTGTAATTATTGTATCTAGTTGAAAAGGGTCTAAAACGTTACATCTTGTGCCTAATCTCTTTCAAGAGATGTAATTGATATGTCTGTGAGTAAATTTATCTAAATTTTGTATAAGTATACCTCGTTATTAATCTACTTCAAAAACTATATTTTGTTTACTTCATAGATACCTCTACCGAGCCCCTATCACTCAATGTTTGAGCTAGACCTCTCGCAGAGAACGATAAGATGCGAGAGGTTCCAGGAATGGGTTTACGGTCGTAGCGCTTATTATATAATGCAGATGAAATCTGCACGTCTGTCAGGTATATATTTATTAATTAAGAACAGTTGTTAAAGGCATTTAACCACCAGTCAATACTTTTCTACCATTTTTATTTGTAAAAAACAAGATAACGAAAAAGCAGTTTGAAAAAAAAAAAAAAATGACAAGACCCCAAAGTGGGATAGAAAAGACGCCATTTTCACTTTACTCTTTATTTCAGTTTAGCAGTGTTTCGTCCTCCGTTATCAGGCATTGTAAGGTTTTGCTTTTTCGTTATGTTACTTTTCGTGGGCAACAAAACGGTACATGGGCTGATAGCACTTTTGGGTTGATGGAAATTATGGGCAAATGGGAATTTTTGACTGATGGGAAATCTAGGTTGATGGGAATTCGGGGCTGATGTGATAAGATAGAAAAATGTCACCTCAGTACATGACCTTTCGTCATATCAGTCAATGTCTTGTTATGTCTGTACGTGAGAACCTCAATGCTTTCGTTACTAGAGCAATGCCACACGTATTTCTTTGAGCTTTGGATGAACATGACGCTGGAGGACCATTCCTCAACCCGTTGTGATATGTTTGGAGAGCCAAAATCAAAACTCTACAACTTCATGGATCGACAGATTCAATGGAATATCCATAGAAGCAGGTTTCCGTCACCAAAACAGATCGGCGAGAAACTTTACAACAAAGCCGTGAAATATGTTGTGAGTATTATTTCGTAACTTTATTCTATAGAATGCCTTTGGAGCTTTGACAGATCATCTTTCTCAGTCCCATTGGGGTATATTTTACAAAATTAATAATAAAGGTTCCATCTCCTGGCTAATTCGACTTAATATAGCAATTAAGATGCATTGTTTGTTGAGAACAAGGCTGAAGAATCTTACTTCAACTTGTCTATATACCTTTTAACTTTATCAAATATATCACAAGTATACTTTCTAACATAATCATCTTCTACCATCGTCATGGTTACACGAACAAATGTGCAAAGAAGATGAAGACGTAAAAGATGTATAGGAAATAACATCAAATTTTATCCGTTCTTTGTTTTTAATTATATTTTTAACTAATTAAAGATAGTGGAAATCAAATCCTGGCTGTTAGTCATCCCTACTATTTCAAGGAAAATTATTTCCGTTCCCGAAAAAAGTGAACATAATTTTAATGATCTTATTTGTTAGTTTGCAATACCATTACTTTGGGCAGTAGTAATGGTTGAATTACTCACGTTCTATGTTCCTGAACAGATAGTTTTATAAATGACGTTGTCTACGAGTTACCTGAAATTCCTTAAAGTGATACTTTATATGTATATGTGCTTCAGTGTTCAGAATTATTTGTAAGTAAGTAAACTGGTTTTTACTTAACGGTAAATACAAGTCTTTGAGACCGTTTTTTTGTATACTTAATTGCAGATTTAATTTGCGTAATGTTGCTTTACATTTTGTTTTGTTCAGTGACTGTTGATGACTTTTTGGTTTTTTCAATTATTTCTGAAAATAGGACCTTGGCTTTGGTTACGTGAGGCGAGCCATACCGTTGTTGAAGCAAGCCAGTTGTTATGACAACCACGACGCCATGTACATGTTAGCGACTCTACTGAACAATGGGGTGAAGGTCAAGGCTGACGAGCCACAGGTGTAACATCAATCACATTTCATAGATGTCTCAGATAAAACATAATAACGAATGTTAATGTTGGAAAACAGCGTTTGCTAGCGCTTTCATCAGTATACACTTGGTTGTAAGAATCAAAGGCACCGTGAAGATCTAGGTGATGAACCAGTGCTAAGTCGATGACATGGAGCAGAGACCCGAGCGGGTGGTGTGGAAATATAATCCCTGCTGTATTCTACAGAGATTACTTATTGTGGGACAAAACCTATAGGTCATGGGTGGTGTATAAGGGAGCTTAGAAAATACGGCCTACTGTATTCCACTGCATGATCAAACAGGGCGACTGAAAGTCTCCCTCCACGCAGAATTCTTGATAACTTCCTTGTTTAGTGGGACATAGAAGAGAACAACAACAACAAAAAAACCTCTGCTCCCAATTGCGTCGCTTGGCTTTCTTTCTTTCTTCTCGACTCTCAATTCGATCTATGTGTACTTTCCAGTCTCGGAGTTACTCTTGATACATATCCTCTTATAACTGGCTATCGCGAGCTCGTTTAATCCTGTATAAACTAGACATGCCATTACGCGAACTATATATCTTATGTCTAGCAGGTGCCCATAATGGTTGTTTGGTTATTGGCCGTTAAAAAAGTGGTGCTGTCGGTGTGGTTTAAAATATCCATTTGATATAACTATTAACTTTATTTATTTTACAAGTTATTTCAACTTATACTAATCAGTCTTGTTGGCCCGGATGTAAGCGCGCGAGGGGTCGTATTGTGGGAGGAAACCGGAGTACCCGGGGAAAACCCACGTGGTCGAGCAGGTGACCCTTACCTTTTCACTTCCGTTCACTGGACGGCTAGGTGAAAGGCGAGTGCGTTACCATTGCGCCACCCGACCACCCAAACATTTGACATGTGCGATACAATGATACAGTGTGTCTTATAGGATATTTTGAAAACATGACGTTTTAATTACCAGGCTCAGGCTTACTTGATGAAGGGTTGTTTGGAGAAACATCGTCTCTGTTGTCTCGCCCTCGCACACAAACACAGATACGGACTAGACGGAGTTACACAAGACCTGGAGCAGGCCTTTAGTGAGTCTGACATCGATTATTAATACTATACTATTAATACTCATAACTAATACTGCTAATAATTACTGATAAAACAAACTAGCAATTTTTATATTGACTTTTAAAAATGAAATGATACCTCTATATTTTTGACGTGCGCCCATTCAAAACACAATCCAAACGGAAAATCGCCTGGATTTCCATCGTCCCTGCATGTGATCCCGATCGTCCCTGTATATGACGTCCATCGTCCCTGTATGTGACGTCCATTGTCCCTGTATGTGATTTCTATTGTCCCTGTATGTGATTTCCATCGTCCCTGTATGAGATTTCCATCGTCCCTGTATGTGATTCCCATCGTCCCTGTATGTGATTTCCATCGTCCCTGTATGTGATTCCCACTGTCCCTGTATGTGATTCCCATCGTCCCTGTATGTGATTTCCAATGTCCCTGTATTTGATTCCCATCGTCCCTGTATGTGATTTCCATCGTCCCTGTATGTGATTTTCATCGTCCCTGTATGTAATTTCCATCGTCCCTGTATGTGATTCCCACTGTCCCTGTATGTGATTCCCATCGTCCCCGTATGTGACTGCCTTTGTACTTGATATCAATTATGCCTCTACTTCAGTGTATTACAAGTACGTGGCAGACACTGTCAGAATGGACAAGGAAGCTCACAAAGAGACAGATGTAAGTTACTTTATTCTTACCTGACTTAGATTTACCTGGCGGATGTCGTCTAGGAAAGAGACATCCTTCGGGAACATGATTCACACTCTTTTCGTCCATTTTGAATTGACATATCGTTAAGATGTCAGCATTTTACTATTATTTCTATAGATGTCCTTTGTACAGTCTTGGCGATAGCAGGTGATAGACACTGTTGGCGGACTTTAAGTCCCTGAGATTTGCCGTAACCTGCTTTCCACGTTTTGATTTTCTCGAATAGTGGTACGGTTCAAAATTAACATTAATATTAAGATTATGAGATGTATGAAAATTACGAAATTTCTCTAACTATGGAGCTGCTGCATCTCCCCGTATAGATTATGACTTACGTCACACTTGATTATTCTGCTGCCTGTGTTTGTCCTATCGTAGATTAAATACAACAATTTGTATTAGCAGAACTAATAAACAATTATCAACGATATTCTCTGTTCATAAGGTGCTAACAGAGTCGGTAAGACTGACAGACGAAGAACAATTACGGGAACAGACGGACGAGGACGGAGACGTGTTCCAGTGGCTAAAACACCAGGCTAGCAATGGCGTCTTCTCTGCACAGGTTAGATAAGGAACTCTCCTGTTTTTTTTTTGTCTTATTATCTCTAAACATGCCTCCTGAATTCAATGTTTTTCTTTATTCCACAATGTTAACTAATACGAGAAGACAACACCTTTCATCGTTTGATAATCGTTATCAAAGAATTTTGTGATGTTATTACAAATGCTAGCCGGTCTTATCCATAATTCAAATGATTTCGCTGATGAATTGACTATCATAATGTCTCCATAGCAACACATGGCGCGTGCGCTGTTTTGGGGCTCCCAGGGTTTGAAACGGAACATGGCGGCTGCAACAGAGTACTTCCGGTTAGGAGCGGAGACACAGGATCCTCAAGCTATGTATGACTATGGAATTATTCTGCTCAAGGCAAGTTCATACTAGTATACATGACATATATGCACATAATAAGTAAAAAGTACTTTACCATTTAAACATCGGTCACATATGCTTTAATTATGCAAAGTCAATTTCTCCAACTCAACATATTCGCTAGAACACATCATGACAATCTTTAGTAATTTTGAAAGGAGTGTGCTGTAAAGTTCAATCAAAGCTGGTTCATAAGGATGTATCTCATTAACAGCAAATTAGAAATCCCTGTAAGCGTGATTCCACTATGGTACCCAGTATGACGTCCTCATAACTATGGGACTACTCCACCTTCCCGTCTAGATTTGGACAATTCCTGTAATCACTTTGAATTTTCCTCAGCCACTCAGACCTTTAATCAGTGACTTCTCCTAGAAGGAGGAAACAGCTGTATGATGCAGTTTGATAAAAATCTATTGTATCTCACTCTATAGTTGTATGTAAAGCTGCTGTTCAATGGTGTGTCATCTGTACAATTTTCTCGTGTATGGTGTAATACCGATCATATTGTTAACATAGCATTGCTTTATCATACAGGGTCAGGGAAGCAAACAGAACAAAACTGAGGGTCTACAACATATCCAGGCCAGCGCTGAGAAGGTATCGTATAGTTTATATATGTATTGTTCTTTCTGGTCTCTAACCAATGTACTTCTAGGGTGTGATGTTACCGGTAATACAGAATGACTAAGACTGTGGGGCTTCCACATATCATCTTCACCAAAATCAAACTGTATAAAGCGGCTTTTCACGAAGTTACATATCTGCTAAGTGGTATAATACATTTAAATGTAGTTGCCGTTATCATTGAATTGATTTTGTATCAGGACACACCAACGTTTTTCAAAAGAATTTTCAGAAAGAATTCAGAATAACTAACGGAAAATGTGCTATATATATATATATATATATATATATATATATAGAATATTTTATACACTTGTGAGTCATTATTTCGCGGATTAAATTTTCGAGGTCACTTTAATATACCGCTAAAAAGCAAAATCATTATCCCGCGAAACTAATCGTCTATAGAGTGGTTTGTTTCTATCTGTGCTGCCTACAATGCTTAAATATCTAAGGTTTTCGTTTTACTCGTGACTGTTTCTCTGTTGAAGAGAAATCCGGCGGCATTGAACGCTTTGGGTTGGTACGCTCATAACCACGAGAAAAATATAACCGCAGCAGTTTACTACTTCGAGAAGGCTTTCAAAAGCGGTAATGCAGACGCCGCTTACAATCTGGGCTTATTTCATCTGAATGGAGAGTACCCGGGGAAGTCTAAGGATTCCGTATGTATTCGTTTGATACTAGTCCCTTTTGTTTACGGAGTGAAACGATATGTTAGTTGGCAGAGCGTTGACCTAGGTAACCTCAGGTAAAAATCTGGGTCGCGTGGTTCAACTCTCTTTTACTGTTTTTCTTGGGAAAATGAAAAACGGACCCGGTCAGTTGTTCTTTGACGAAATCCGTGACCTTTATTGTTCTGAACGGCGTAAGACGGACCTTCTGTATGTTGTTCAGTGAGGCTGTTAATGGGTCGAATTACCTTTGCTTCATGATGTTCCATCCATTACTACTTTGGGTATTACAAGCGGGATTTTATATTGAAATACAAGTAATTATTTCCTGTGTACAGTCATGGACACTGTTACTTAAGATTTTACCTAAAAATTGAACTTTGCTTTGAACTTATTAAACTGCATTTGATGTCGTTATTCAAATTCTATTCATAAGTGTCAGTGTAATTACATTTAGATTTATGTTCAAATACTTAGAAAAGCCACTTGTTCTTTATCAGGATACCGCCCTAGATTACTTTAATTACGCAGCTACCAGAAACCAGATCGATGCGGGTGTGTTCGTTTCCTACCTAAATATGAAGGGCACATTACTGCGCAGTCGCCAGGTGTATGTGGCTACTGAGTAAGTTGATTGTATCTTTTAATTGATATTTCACTTATAATTATCTACCAAATTCATATGTTATTCTTTATCATAATTATCAAACTATTCCGTAACTCAATCACTACGTTGTTTCTGAATTCATTAAATACCGTAATTCAACATAGATAGCTTACTGAAATCAATCACAACGAGTTCGTTTGTATTGATACCTGTTTATTACTGTTGTAAAAACTTTACAATCTACTCGAGTGGTTGCTCAAATAAAACGCCTGAAATGTGGACCGACTAGGTTGGGAGGACACAAAAGAATATTTTTCAGAATGTTAAAACGTTTCGTTTATATTTATTATTGTATATCATTATTTATATTTTTATACCATTTACTAGTAACACATGTTAAATATTATCAACGTTAAATACTTGCTAAAGCTTGCTATATATGTTAATTTTACAGGTGGGCAAGATTCATTGCTGAGAAAAATCCTGCTTTGGGATTTGTTCTGAGGAAAGGATTAAAAGCTTTCAGAAACGGTGACAAGTAAGTTGGAATGTAATTTCACCAGAATAATATAAGATGTATATTGTTGGTGTTATCTTATTTAAACATTGACGCCCTGAAATTGTTGCACTAAATAATGATAGCGCTATTTGTAGTTAATTGCAGTTATTCTATATACACAAATTCGTCATTCCGAAGAATTGTTAGGAACTAATTAATTCTTTTGTTCGATTGTGCCATTTTGAAATCTTTAACAGTATTTGGCTTGTCTGCTTTTCATTACAGAAACAAGTGAAAATTTTCTCTCCATTTTCATTTTATTTGACTATACATTCAATATGTGACAGGCGATGAAAAATTATAGAATAATAGTATATCTTGGTGTAACAGTTATAAATACACACTTAAACACTACTATTTTTACAATTATATAGATAACTTACTGTTTATTTTTGTTGGTGCGAAATAATTAAAATAGTTTGATGGTCAGTTTTGGTCTATATTTGTATAGATCAATTGAATTACTTGCTACAAAAAATACTTGTACTTGTTCCATTGGGATCGCACAGACCAGTGGCCCTTCTGTATTATATGATGGCAGCTGAAGCTGGAATAGAGGCCGGCTCATTTAACCTGGCCTGGCTGTGCGAGGAAAATCAGGTAGGTTAAAAATAGTCTCGATACATCAACCCCACCACTTCTCAAAAAATGATAAATAAGACTTCTACTGCAAGAATTAAAAAGAACGATAGAAAATTACAGGGCATGGAAGTTAAATTACATAATCAGTAAGACATATTGTTTATACTTAGACTTTCAAAAATTTTACAAAAAGACTAAAAACCTCAAGGTATTTTTTGACGTGAATTTTACTTTTCCTGTGCATTGTCGATCATACATCATATTGCTTAATTCAAACAACTTGTGTCGTAGGATGGTATTGTCAGTTTTATAGAGAAGGAATGTCAATGGCGTCAGTACAACATCACAACTCGAAGAGAACAACAATTTGTTGATCCATATGGTAAGTACAACATCACAGCTTAGAGAGAAAAAATATTTTGTTTCTTGATCTGGAAACGTTTCCTAGTCCTTATTTCCGTATTTTATTGGCTCAAACTAGAATCTATAATTTGAAATCTATTTTGCCATGGTAATATATTTTTTTGATAAGTATGGATTTTTAAAAAAATATTAAATGGAATTTTGATAAATATTGTGTCAACTAAAGTAAGTATAATTTTCAAATGTACTGAAAGTAGGAAACGAGAACACCACAAATACATCATACAGGAAAGTCTAATTCATTTAACGATGTGTTACAAACATATACAGTATATTAAATTGAAAGAGAGAATCGGTAATGAAACAGAATGGCCAGTTTACTTTTGATGTAACAAAAAAGAAATAAAAAGATAATTCATTTCACTTGATGTTCTGTAGTATCAGAAATATCAACCCGAGAATAATTTGATATGAAAACTAATAATTTTCTTATATAACGAAAAAATCTTCATCACTGTTGTTGTGATTTTCCTCGCCCCATATCACACATAGTTGATTATTCATTCTTTTTCTTTCACATCTCATTATAATTTTTAATTCATGTTTACATATATTATCATGTATTGTCAATTATTAGGGTTGTACTGTTGAGAAGTTGACAGATCCGTGTAAACCAACTTATTTGTACAGAAAAAATGATGATTGATTTTTATTTTGTATTCCAAAATACTATGTTCTTAAAATTCATGAAAATAGATTGAGAGTAATTCTTGATGATACAGAGCGAGATGTCGAATCATTGAAGCGTTGCTTAGTAAGAGTTAGTTCCCTTGATATGGGTAAGAAATAAACATGTGAATAGTAATTAGAACTGATCATATCGAGCTACATAATAAGGCACCTCTAGCCTTGTTGTAGGACGACTTTGTTCAAAAGTGACAATTGTTAAAACAAATTTTTCCCTTTATTAGAATCTGTGCCATATTTAATGTTCTAATTTCAATCTTTACCGTCCATGCGGTAAGATATTTTCATAGTAACTAGAATTTCTCAATTGAAAATAAGGAAACATTATCTTGGCTGCAGACGAAGAATAACTATTTTTGGATGAACCTTTTAGCTTTAATAAAGATGGGAGATTACTATTGGTACGGCTGTGAAGGATACCGAGATCCAGGGAAAGCTGCTGACCTGTACTCTCTGGCTGCCCAGAAAAATGACCCTCATGTAAGTACAGGGTCACTCCGCTGTCTGTATAACGTATTCACTGGATACTACGATTTTGACAAAATAAAGCACATATATTAACTAATGCTGTTAATTGTAGCAGACAATTGGTCGCATAAGACAGGGAGGTGTTATTAACACGCTCTATTTGGTCGCTATAGACAGGGAAGTGTTATTAACAGGTTGTATATGGTCGCTATCATATTCAAAATATTCTTGATATATCACATGCTGACATGAACACAAAACATACGTCTCTAGTTTATCGACTATTTAGTGAACATGTATCTCGTAAAATCATTCCTATCAACATTGAGTTCCCATTAGATCTGGAACCGTATTCACGAAACCGTTCTCTGTGTCCTCTGTTGAATGCTATGAGATCGCATGGTTAGACACTGCTGATTGACTCGAGCCACCAAGGTTTTCCGGCACCCCCATTAGAATGGCACTTTTCAGAATATGTAAATGTACTTCAGGTTCATTGTGAAATAATCGAATATTGAAAAATTCTTAAAACCCATCAGCTCGTCATCAGTATCTCGATGTTAAGTCATCCATTTTTATTTTTTCTATAGTTTTTTATGGCTTTTAAAGCTAAATACCTCTCGCAGTTCTGATGAACCATGAAAGGTCAACACATTGTTTGATGAACCATGAAAGGTCAACACATTGTTTGATGAACCATGAAAGGTCAACACATTGTTTGATGAACCATGAAAGGTCAACACATTGTTTGATGAACCATGAAAGGTCAACACATTGTTTGATGAACCATTCAACACATTGTTTGATGAACCATGAAAGGTCAACACATTGTTTGATGAACCATGAAAGGTCAACACATTGTTTGATGAACCATGAAAGGTCAACACATTGTTTGATGAACCATGAAAGGTCAACACATTGTTTGATGAACCATGAAAGGTCAACACATTGTTTGATGAACCATGAAAGGTCAACACATTGTTTGATGAACCATGAAAGGTCAACACATTGTTTGATGAACCATGAAAGGTCAACACATTGTTTGATGCAGTTTGATTCATTATTTGGCTGATTTTATCAAAATTAAAGTTTTGAAAAAAAAATCTGTCTACCTCTGTGTCACCAGTCAAGTCTGAGAGTCTGAACTGATTAATTGATTACTGATTTACTCTGTCTTTCTAGGCAATATTCAACCTTGGTTTGATGTTGGAGGAAGGAACACAGATACATCCGTCAGTATGGAATTCACTTTACATCTCCGAGGCGGATCAGAGCAATAATTATACACTGCTTACGACAATCTATAGGAAGTAGGTAACGCATTGTAGAAATAAGATTAGATATTGAAATGGCCTCCTCTCTGGTGAAAAAGAATCATGAATGTGTAATGTAGGATAGGCACTTGTTCTTTCACATAACAAGATTTAAATGCAGTCCCCAGATTCAAATTTCAGTTAATAGCATACCGACATTCATTTTACGAAATCAGCCTTTACATGGGCGACATTAAGTTCGGGAATTTTAACTAGAGTCTCAGCACTTTACAGTTTGTGATTTGTTAAGAAATAGACAAACAAGAGAATTGTATCGTTATGTCTACATATTTGTAATTCCTACTAAAACTCTATAAAATGAACGTGAAAACATGAACTATTTACCCCCTCAGACCGTTGAAACTACAAGGACTATTGTATCATTGAATTTATTCAGTAACGATCCAAAGGCAAATATCAAAGTTTTGTAAAATGCTATGATCATTTATCTCAGATGCAGGGATTCTCCTAAAACCGAGGCTTTTCTGCCATGTTCTATGGCTCTTTATCGAGTACAGGTTCTGGAGACTTGGAACAAATACAGCAGCATTATACAGGTAAAAATCTACTTCATGTTTCTAACAACAATGCCTGGAACCACAGTCACCTTACTCGCTTATAAGGAATTCCATTTGCTGGCCAGACCAGGTCAGAATGGGTTGTCACTGCTTTAATAAAAAAGATTAAGAAATTATGATTGGCATTTTGAGTTCGACGGAAGTCATAAATTCCTATTGATGATCTATTTTGTCACCTAGATGTACTGTAATAAACCAAGTAGTAGCAATGTCATCTGTTGATAATTATACCAATAATTGGAAATATACCCTTGTGTAATTTATTTCCTGGTAATACATGCGCCGCTTTCGAAATTCTCTCATTTGTTTTCTTGTCCCTGAAGTACAAAGGTATTTGAAGCAGTATAAATAATACAAATAAATACTTAAATTAGTTTGAGTAAAACCGTTTCGGAAATATTTATCTAAATCTCCTATTTGTTAGAGACGAGGAAATGGTTTCATTTAGATAGTGGATGCTTCACAATGTCATGTATTTGATTCCATTGTCAACATAATATGGAATATGATAAAGATAGTTTGGAAATATGACGGAAATCCCCAAAACGCAGATATATGATGTTGTCTGAAGCAAGATTGTATTTTTAATGATAATTGACGAGATGTTGATAAAAGACGTCATCATTTATGTCTTACAATATATTGACATTCTGAACGGAACTATGTAGCAAACAATTAGAAAATGATTTAACACTATTCTATGTCTATGTACCTGGTATCATGAAGAAACCCGAGAGACTCTAAGTTCACTATTAACTTATACGTTCACATTGCATCGTATGAAAGATTGATGCCATTTGACTAACATTTTAATATGGTTTATGAATTTAAATGATAGACGTGTGCTGTAGATAAATACACCATCTCTCTGCTGGGAAGACATTGTTTGACTCATTTGTATAGTTCGAAGTACGTACACAGAATGGTTCAGATTTGCTGGTGATATTGTGTTTCCATACAACAAATTTAACTCTAAAACTAAAAAAACATGCATTTTGAGTATTTGATAATAGCAGCTTATATCGTATGTTATGAAATGCAATTAGAAGGTCTATAAAAACAAGTTTATGAATTTTAGATGTCTTTAGATGTCACGAAAGTTGTCTAAAAATACTTCATAATACATTTTACTTTTTTACATTTTCTCCAATAAATTTCATATAGTTTTAAATTAACTTAGGTTATAATGATGTTCTAATCAGGTTATTTTTATGATTGAAACATGTTAGTGAATTTTCACTTGTGTGGAACTCTTTAGAAGTACAACAGCGCATACCTTTACCATATTCCATCTCTCAACAGGTGGTCAGTTTTGTGTTGTCCGGTGTGGTGACCGTCATCAGTTTTCGTCATATTATCCAGTCCTTAAGAGAAAATCAGCGTCCTGTAGAACTAGATATACTCTGATACATGCTGGCGACGGGCATCGTATTAAAATCAATTAAAGTCAAAAGTTGCCGATAACGTCATGTAACTATAGATGTTACCGATCATCGACTTCACTGCCTGGAAACCATTCATACAATTGTAATATACATATATGTAGATAACATAGTCTTGGTATCATAAAACATCATAATTTATTACATGACTTAATATCACTTTGAAATTTAAAAAAAAACTCTTTGATGTGTTTACATTCGATTTTAAGATTAATCCATTCCTTTGAAAATTCAGGGATTTCTGACGCAAATACTTTGTTCAGAAAAAATAACATTACCGGGTAATTGATTTTGCCAATGGGATGGCAATGTTGTGATTGTGATCATTGTGATTGTGATCACGGAAGTGGAAGATAGCACACGTTTCCTGAAATTAAGTAACAAAATGAATGAATCAAAGAAATGTGCATAGATATTTTCAGGTAGATATATTTTTATTGTATTTAGGATTATCGTTTGGGGTGAATCAAGGAGACAAAAGAACATTTATGATTTTATCACTATTTATCTGATATCATTGGCTGCAATATTTGTTTTACATGAGAACGCAATATATACCTCTAGTCAGTATAGTTTGATTAATGATTGAACCATCAAAAAAACATTGTTTCTGTAGTTTGTGTGCACGTATTGACGATAAACATATTGTAACATTACAATACGATACAATAGGATACGGAATCTGTCAACATGATTAAACGACTGGTTTTAATTGGCAAAAATGATTTTTAAGGAAAAATAGAGTTTGTTTTTTCATGTTTTCTATACCACACTTAAAAATCTATTACTGTCAGTTGTTACGTACAGATGAGTAATTGTTTAAGTGTATATAATTACCCTCATCATTTTCTATTTAGTAGTCAGCCCTCGTGGAAATGCTGTTGAAATCCGATCAAAATTCGCAGAAAACATTCTACTTGAATCGTCCTAAATTAATTTGAACTAACGTTTCAGTGTTGGATGTTTAATTTTGAATCTTTAATTATTGTTTCACACCTTCAATTTGAAATATGTTTTAAGTTAAGGAGAATTTTGTTTGATTTAAATAACATAAAGATCACAGAACCTATAAATATCAAATCAGCGTATATTACATTTTGGACAAGATAACAAACTTATGGTAATTAATGACGGTGGTTGAGGGTCGCATTTCTAAAATCCAAAAAGCACGATGTTTAGCTATATATAATAATTTCTATACATAAACTTCATTTATTTTACAATAATTCCGAAATAAGTTTTTCCAACTTATATTAATAACTCTTGTTGGTTCGGATGGAAGCGCGAGGGGACTTAGTGTGGGAGGAAACCGGAGTATTCGGGGAAAAAACCCCACTTGGTCGCACAGGTGACCCCATAGCTTTTTATATCCATTGCAGGAATCGAACCCTGGACGGCTAGCTATATATATAAGCTGAATGCATGTTTAACATCCGGAATGTCTGGTCTCAATCTTAAGTAAACTAATGTTATATGAAATATCATATGAAGTCTCGTAAAATACGGATGCCTGCAGTAACATAATATATCCGAACAATGTGTTTGCATATAAACAAATAATAATCGTTACATTAATTGTGCACAAAATGAAACACCTATCAAATTTCTATACAGCTGCTGTGTCATGCCGTTACCTGTCATTACTATAAAGGCTTTATCACGACACTGAAATGTATCTGCTTTATTTGATATGCATCATGAGTAAGATAATCCTTCGGTTAGGACGAACAAGAGTATATATGTATCTATGTATGTGACTCAGCGAGTTATATGTGTCCATTTAAGTGATAATTGTGGTCTATGTACTGTAAGATTATCAATTTTCTTGGGGGATAGATATTTATGTTGATTTCCTGTGTACTCTTAACTTATGAATTCATATGTCCACGACTGCAGAAATTAATATAACTTGATTCAATGAGTCAAATTTATCCACGAAATCAGATATTCACGAAAGAGTAGTATTTTTGAAAATCCACGAAAATTGAGCCCAACGAAAATACATAATTTTACAGTATTTATAACTGCAATGTTTTTCTTTTTCAAATAAAATCTAGTCATTTTAACTTGTTATTGTTTAGAAGGTTATTAATGCACACGTCCGTTTGTTCTCATTTCTTCATAGTCAAAGAAGAATGAAAACACTAAAGACGTAATGTCTTGTTATCGTTGCAATGTCATACACATTTCTTATATTTGTATTTTCCCTGTAAAATCAGTCCTTGTTTTATTTATTTGTATCAAAGCGTTACCCAATAAAGACATCGAGTATTCGAGAGGTTCTTTATACAGATTTGGGATTGCACAACGCACCAATAAAATGCGCACATCGACTAAACATTTTCCGCACACCTTGTGTACATGTCCGAACATAATCTACGCAAGTATACAATGCATGATTAAATCACATAAGTGTATCATATCATCACACATTTAGAACGGTTGGTAACGTTAAGTCAGTCAATAATACGAATTGAAAAATGAAACGAAAGGTTAGTGGGTGTTTTTATAAATGTTTTATTCAGTGATAAGGGATCTTATCAGTTATGGAAATAATCAGAACATCCGGAGGTCTTCATTAGGTGTGTTTTCCTCTTGCTCTGATATATCCGCCTTGTTTTAAATTAATTACCCATAATGGTTGATACCAGAATACGGTTGTATTTTTGGTAGGCTTTTACATGTGTTTGCGATTAATTTTATAAGATCAAACTTAACAATAAAAAACTAAGATTAATGTAGAAAGATTTTTTTGAAATATCCGGCAATGTTTTTGTCTTGTTTTTTTTATAAGAGAACAGAACGATCATGAAAACATCAATATATTTACAACGTGAGATTCAAGTGTCTTTGACCTATATAAGTATAAGCTTGCACTGTTCAATTTGGAAATGTCTATAAAAAACATAAATCAGGCACTTATGTAATATTCTGTACCTATAAAAAATTATGTCTAAATTTATGATACCTACTTTTGCATCCTACCTCGTCCGTTTATCGTGCGCAAATGAGAATGAACATTTCTACTGACCGAATTCCTATCGTTCAAAATCATATACATACATCGTTCAAGCACCGATTGCATGTCTTTCAACCTTTTGGGATTTCAAAATGAATTTGTATAAACGAACTGGTCTCTTGATTTTAACTATTGAATGTGATATCGACAGCATACATGAAGTACTGTAACTTGGTTATTTTTAGTTGTTTTTCTTTCTATATGTGTTTATCGTTGTTATTTCTAAGAAACTTTAAATTATTTGTGACATATTCATTGAACTATATTCCTTTATGACTTGTTTTCGCGCATCAGGACTGACGTGAAAATTTATCGCCGCGAAAATGTGAATTTTGTAACACAACAATAGAATTCTGCAAAATTCACAAAACGCTTTTTCGAAATTATTTTGCAATTAAATAAAACATTTTATTGTGAGCGATCTCAAGCATTATGTATCAGCCTTATTCTTCCACAGGACTGTACTATAGCATTGATAAGTACACGCTTGATAGACAATCATCTGCCACTTACTACATTATATACATTGTTATGCCTATATAGATCATACGTTTTGTCATTCATTGATATAAATATAGATTTTCCCATATCTGCCTATATAAATTCAATCATATCACAATCATACCTAATGTCATCTTAATATACACTGACTTTGATTGACAAAAGCTGGAGATTAATGCAAGCTTGTCTGTAGTGTTAAATGTATCCTTTTCTATATGTGAACAACAACCTGCAGTGAAGGTTACTCATAATGATCAATGTCGCCTTTTAAATCATGATATCTGGTTCATAATGATTAATAAATTAGGAATTCCTTTTTTTCATTGGTTTTGAAAATCTTGCATCGCTTTAATTTTCAGTGGGTCTTTAATGGATTTGGTCAATATATGTCTAGCCAGGAATGAAGGTCAATTTATTCCTGTCGTCATTTTGTTGTTTTAAATACATAATTTATTTTTTGTGAAAATATTAAATTTGAAGTGGAATCCATTAGACATACTGATTAAACATCTATCGAGAACAAAGGTGGCATTTTAAACTGAATTCATCTGCATAGAAGATTGATAAATATATATATATCTTATGTTCATAATTATGCCTCGTTTGACCTGCCTTATATAAAGGAAACTCAATACATTTTTTTAACGTAAGCTGGATATTTAATTTATGAATTCAAGTGATTCATTCGATAGTAAGGTTTTATTTGGTATCGACATGTTTTTGCGCCAAAATAACTCGAGTATCTGATTTTGTCTATAGTATAATAAAATCTTACTCATGTAATAACGAAGTTGTAGCGGACTCATTAGAAGTTTCATGATGGTTTATATAAAAGAAGACAAAACTGACAGTCAAAAGTGTTTACTTCAATGTAATATCAAGCATATCTTTATCAAGATTTATTGAATTTTGTCTGAATGAAGTTACACCGTAAGTAAGGTTATTCTAACGCTAAAGTACCCGCCTCAATTATGGCGTTCTCCCCATTACAGCCCCTAAAAGTCATTGAAATTACCAAAATAGTAATAGTTTCTCGGATATGGTAAATAGCTTTGTAACATTTATTTTTGTGTCAAAAAGTGACGGCTTCGTTATTAGGTTTGTTCATGAATATTAGTTCATACATACATTGTCATCGCAGGCTGGAATCATACAAGATTAGATCTCGGATTACAATTATGCAATTCCATCATATTTCGTTAACAACTTTTTTTTCATTATCGAAGATTTTAACGCGAATTCATTTCCTATTCATATTTTCTGTGCAGGAAGGTACCTTAACTGTCATATTAAAACATGGATGGTTGTTGTTATGGCAAATATAGCTTTAGTATGATGTCTTTACCACATTAGTGACACAATATTTGAAGATAACACGAATTACGTAAAGTACGCCTTGAATTGTCAAGTCAGTACTGTTTCTCCGGTAAAACTGGAGATTCATAGTAATCTCTTGTTCATCTAGATTTAATATTCATTCAATTGTTTGAATTTTGTGTAGCCTTTATAGATTATTCGTTTTCGAAATAAATGGTTGGTTACTGAAATAATTCAATTGTTTGTTGTACACAAGGGGTACGGTGTTGGTAAATAAGTGAGAGGCTACACAGATATTGGGTGTTTTCTTGTGGTCATCTCAGATCCAGCGATGTATATTCATGTCAGCACGTAAAGTAATTTGTATTTTCATTACGACGCATATTCAATTATTCACGTATTTTTTAACTTAAAATGTTGAGAAATAATTGAAAAATAATACTTTTGAATTTTTTTTGCTTATATCTAATAATTTCATCAAGAAAATAAAAAAGAAAAAAAAGACTTTCTGAAGAAACTACGAAACTTTGAACCTTTGAAAAACACCTCTCCAGACGTTTTTTCGATTTACATAGCTAGGTTATGGCGCGGCGTGTTATTCATTGCCCATCATCCGTTTTTCGTTATGACCAGTAGGCTTTGTATCGAAATACAAGCTTGAAAGATCTCTCTAGAATGGAAGGTAATGAAATGAATTCAAATGCTTGAACGACAAAATAGAATCAATTTGGAAACCGAAAGAAAAGAAATAGGACTGTAAACCTTACAGAATGTTTTATTTGACGTGTATCTATTCATATATAACAAGTATTATCCTGTGTGTAAAATCCAATTCAGGATACAATAACTTTCATTTCAACATATGATGTACTTACCTTCTGTGTATACTTCAATAATGTAATTGTTAATGTGAAAAACCAACCAAAATAAAACAGAACATTGTTATGAAATGATGAGGAAAACTTATCAACTCTTAAACAGAGATAGTTGAAATGCATCTGTGTAAAACTGACCTGCTATGTGTCTAAGGATGTAAACCTTGAAAGATATCGAGACTTAGTCATATTCAAAACCAATGGACTATCGGTGGTTCGTTTCTGATTTCCTAGACACGTGCCTTGAGATGAAGCATATCGCTATCAAAATTATGCAATTATACATCGATCAAGTAATTCCGAATTACGATGTTGATTGAAATGTATTTGATTGCATCATCAATATGTAACGAAATCAAACGAATAAAAGAAAAAACGTTTTCTCTGATATTACGATGTCATTTTCCTGAAATTCGTCAGTTTTGACAAAAACAAATGCCTGTGTGAACATAATTTAACTGAAACTTAGATTCAGTAAGACTATTGCAAGATATGAACAACAGAAAATAAAGAAAAAAGTTAAATTTGCATAAGACCAGGTGTTACAGAAGAGTAAGCGTCGTCTGATTCATCGACGACACCCGCAATGTAAATCTTCGTTAATTCAAGTAAGTAATATCGTGTTTCTAAATGTGGACAATGCATATCATTAATATTGTGTGAGATTAAATACATGATTAATTGTTTTGTATTTTCTTGAGTTAATGTATCCCCGAGATTTGTCGTAGCCACATCTGAATTCATTCGAATTGTGGTACGGTTCAGAATATACACTTGTACTTGATGCTATTTTAAAATTATCTGATATGTTTAAATTACGAAATGTGTTTGATTATGGGACAGGTGCATCTGCCCGTCTAGCTTTTGACTTTTCTTTCGATCACTTTGGATTTTCTTGAGTCGCCTCCTAGGTTTCAAAAAATTTGCCTTTAGCGTCACTGAAGAGTCCTAGAAGGACGAAACAGCGGTATGATGTAAAATTACTGACGAGTACTAGAAGGACGAAACAGCGGTATGATGCAGTTTAATTAATTGTTTTTCACTACTGTATCTAACTCTAACTTATTAAAAGATGTTATTCATTTGTGTGTCTTTTGTACAATTTTTGTTAAGTGAAAACTTCACAACAAAGATTAGGTCAACCAACGTGTTTTATTAGATGTTTTCCTGACAAGGTATTGAGTAATTTATACAATAAATATATTACATGCTCACTTCACTCACTCCATCCTCGTAACAAAAGTACACAGAATCACTGAATTACTAAATCATTATGTAATTGTCTATCAGTTAGAATTATCAACTATAACTATAAATAGATATGACGAAGCAAATATAATAAGGATCAGTCTACCTATCGCCATTAGTTAGTGTATCTATATGAACGATGAGTAATAATCCCAGTTTTTAGTTGACGATCCTCTCGAACGCTGAATAAACGCCAAAAGTGTCATATGTTACATGACTGATAACTAACAGGTTAATTAAACTCAATTAAAACAAGTGAGAATGATCAATCAATTTTAACGACCGATGCTCTTTTGCTATGATAAATAAGATCTGGTATCGATATTGAAATGCAAAATATATTTAATGATACATAACAAATGAACTCTTAACGCAGTATAAAAATAGAAATAGTCTAAAAGATAAAAAGATAGTTATTTGGTTAAAAATTCACAGCATATATCTCTTATGAAGAGGAACAACCTAATGACGAGGAAATAAGCTTAGGTATTGATTGCTGAAATGATTTCGAATAATTGTCATTAAATACATTTTGTGAATTGAAATAAAATCAAGAAGTAACTTGCTAGAATTTATATTATTACCAAAATATTGTATATAACCACTTAAAGTTTTATCACATCAGTAAAAATATACGTACTCGTTACCGAAATAGAAAAGATAATCATAAAAAAAGAATTAACAAAAACAAGCATACCAGCTAAAACGAACGGATGATACAGATGTTCATTGCAAACATCATTATCGTATTGTACAGAAAATGGTACACATTGTCCGAAATGGTACACATTGTCCGAAATGGTACACATTGTCCGATAATGGTACACATTGTACCGAAAATGGTACATTTCCCGTCATTTCCAAAGAATATGAATATAAGAATTTTGTACCAGAAAATATGGCTGTAATTTCTCAGCTGTTGAACGTTTGATGATGAAAACAACTGTGATATGAGGAAACTTAGTGTTGTAGTCATCATATATAAATGATGAAGTCAATGAGAAATGTATCAAGCACTTTATTTCACAAGAAACACTTTACTGTGATGGTCTTTAAATACACAACAAAAGTATCAAATTAGCATAGATTCATACACAAATATACCACACACTCTCCGACATATACAACAAACAAGAGAGGCTACATATGTGGGATACACATGCACATTTTGCCTTGATCGACATACCATTTGTTGGCGTTGTTTACTTGACATCAATGTGTGGAATACCAAACACGTAATATAAATAAGTCAAATACACAATTTCCACACAACAGTGTAAAATGCACCCTTTTCATCTTTGATGACAAAATCACTTTTGTGTCATAATGCACCTGTTGACCGATCCCAATTGCTTGCAAGAGTCGAACGTCATCTCTTATGTTTACGTTAGGACCGATTTTGGCGTCATCTGGCATTCACATAAGTCACCACAGGAACGTAACGCATCCTGCAATAGATCATTCGTGGTCATTATATTGGGAACTGAATTGTTTACTGACATTTTAAACGGCAATATCATATCGTTATGTGTTTAAATCTGAAAATAATAATTACAATTTCTATTTAAACAGAAGATGGTTATAAAATATATGTATTTGATCGCTGGATATTGTGAATCAAAATCTCCACTTTCGATAAAGTTTTTGGATTTCAGATTTATGCATTGACCAAAAATATAAAATATTTTCTCACTGATATTGTCTTGACTTTCTATAGATGTGTGGGGAAAACTAGGCGAAATGAAAATAGTTATATACGTTGAACAACCTAGCTTGCTTTTTTGTATTAGAAGTAAATATAGGCCTTATAAGTTCCGTTTTTTTGGGAGATATACATTAGTCTATTTATATCTGGAACACGAGTTTTCACTTACATATACATGTCAATCTATCATGCCTTTCACCTTTTGAACATATACACTAACACTGTGTTACAGTTACACCGTTTGTAAACTTCTACTCATGTCTTAATTTATCAATTTCTACTAAAAACATTTGTACTTTCCATAAAGTGATCAATTTCTGTGAGAGATTGAAGGAAATATATATAAAATCAAATTACCAGTACACAAAACATCCTAATAATACCGCTGTAACTTTGAAAAAACGACCCGAATTGAAAAAGGACCTCGATTTTCAAAAGGAGTCAATTTTCAACGTTACACCGCATTGTTCTTTTAGACAGATAACCACTTTGCCGTCAAAGTCTCCTTGTTTATGTGGAAATGTAACACTTCGAGGTATAAAGGTATACGTCACATGGACGAATAAAACACATGGAAATATCGACTGAAATCAAACCTAAATCGACAAAACGGGGGCAAAACAACATAATATTGACGATACGTGGTTTATAAAAAGCGACTTACTTTCGTTTTTCATATATTATTTGATAAAAATAGATAAGGATAATTAATGGCAAAGTTGCAAAAATAGCATTGGAACATTTATACACACTGCTAAAGACAAACATATTCTATTACCCCATTTCAAGAGTTGTAACTCATAGATTGTTATGGCCGTTACAATGATATATTTAACATTGTAATGTTGGACGTGTTTAATGGTCGTTGGGAAACCCTTGCTACAATCTGACATATACAAACATTGATTGACAAAGGTTAACATATCTATTGTCGAGACTCGTCAGTAAAACTCTGTTCCAAATGTCGAGAAGGGAAAGTAGAGGTAATAAATATCGGCCTAGGAAATTTAAAAGTACAGAAAGAAACGAACAGCTACCACCTTTGATAAATCAACATGATTGCACATTGATAATGTCTTTAGGTACAGGGATTGATTCCGAACTTAGCCATTTGTTACCATTCTGACGTAACAGGCACTGTTACTGAAAGCCTCAGGGCAAGACAATTTATCAGACTATCAGCCAGTCTGGGAAAGTATTTATACAACTACAGCATGACGTTATGTTATAAAAATATCTGAAGTAAGGACAATATCGGATATTAGTATATAAAACTTTATCTATATGATAAACATCATGTATAATAGTGGCCCTCCTATCAGGCAAAATTTGAATACAACTTAGTGGATATATCAAAACAATAACGGGATGGTAGTACATCATTGTATTTCAATATTCAAAAATGGCGATTACGATAAAAGTGTTTTAACGAAGTTTACAAAATTACGCCATCAATTATTTATCTAGGTTTTAAAACAAAAGATTCCAAACAGAGGTCATGACAGCACCAGTTTATGCTTATTCTAAGTACTATATAATGACATATCGTAATGATCCTTCTACACTTTTTTCTGCAGATATAATGGAGAACAGATGTGATTGGTTATTAAGGAGACAAACTGTCCTAGTTTTTACCGACAGGCGAGACGTACGGATAGCTGGAGTGTTAAGACGAGTTCCTGTCCTACATGGTATATACATGAATCATATTTCACCGGACCGGAGACATTTGATGTATACACTAATGAGAAAGTGATTATATGTGTACTGGAATGGATCATGAGATATGTAAACCTGACAGCTAACACGTTACCGCTGTGTATAGCAGTAAGGCAAGGGGCTAAATGTTTGATGGTAAAGCTCTCAAGCATTTCCGGAAATAGTGTCATCATCATTGACTAGTAATATGTCAAACAGTGTCTGACATCAAACTTTTATCAGATTTTAATTCAGCAATGCAATTTCTGTTACATTTTTGATGCCTTGAACCAGCCTCGTAAACTGCTTAACTTACGATATTCTTTATATACTATCTTATTAAAACGTGATACTCTTACAGAGTAAATTTTTTTAGGTTAAAAAAAGGGAAAGACATTTAAAGACATTGAGATGCGAAACAAATGTCTCAGACAGGAAGATTAACCATTGGTGATACAGAAGATTGATTAAATGGCTCATCTGAGAAAAATTTACATTCACCTTTAAATTATGTTACAACATTCCCCATTAAATGTTTTAATTATTATTTGTATGATAACGTGTTAATGTTCGCGGATGATGTGATGGATTTTTCACTTATTAAACTGTGCTATACTATAAAATTGTTTAATTTCATGGGGATAATATTTTGCTGTCGTTCCAATTTGAGATAGTTGACAAGGATCTCAAATTTCGCGAATATCTTATACATTGGTACCCCTGTATGTAGGCACTTAAGTAAGATTTCCTAATATTTTGAATTCGTGTTGTCATGGATGATCGTCAATAAACCGATATTTAATCGTCACGACTATAATTCACTGTACGGTATATTAATACATTATCATGATTATGCCATTTACCTCTTATAAATTCTGTCATAAAAATACCGGAAATTACCAACATGTCAACATAATCATAATCCAAACTCAAATTCTATAAAACTAGGAAATACCAACATGTCAACATAATCATAATCCAAACTCAAATTCTATAAAACTAGGAAATACCAACATGTCAACATAATCATAATCCAAACTCTAATTCAATAAAACTAGGAAATACCAACATGTCAACATAATCATAATCCAAACTCAAATTCTATAAAACTAGGAAATACCAACATGTCAACATAATCATAATCCAAACTCAAATTCAATAAAACTAGGAAATACCAACATGTCAACATAATCATAATCCAAACTCAAATTCTATAAAACTAGGAAATACCAACATGTCAACATAATCATAATCCAAACTCAAATTCTATAAAACTAGGAAATACCAACATGTCAACATAATCATAATCCAAACTCAAATTCTCTAAAACTAGGACAGAAACAAGAACATACCTGCATGTCAACATAATCATAATTCAAAATCAAATTCAATAAAACTAGGACAGTAACAAGAAATTACCAACATGTCAACATAATCATAATCCAAACTCAAATTCAATAAAACTAGGCCAAAACATGAACAAAAAAAACTTACACGAGGAGTCTTGAAAAAGTGCAATGAGAATAAAGGCCAGTAATTAATGTCATGTTCTCAAATGACAACAAACTATACAAAAACGGAACCAACAGGCAAACTAATGAGCATTACACACGTCCAGCTTCATATTACACAACGGAACCAACAGGCAAACTAATGAGCATTACACACGTCCAGCTTCATATTACACAACGGAACCAACAGGCAAACTAATGAGCATTACACACGTCCAGCTTCATATTACACAACGGAACCAACAGGCAAACTAACGAACATCAAACACGTCCAGCTTTATATCACACAACGGAACCAACAGACAAACTAACGAGCATCAAACATGTCCAGCTTCATATCACACAACGGAACCAACAGACAATCTAAGAAACATCAAACACGTCCAGCTTTATATATCACTACAGAACCACCAGGTATACTAACGAGCATCAAACACGTCCAGCTTCATATCACACAACGGAACCAACAGACAATCTAAGAAACATCAAACACGTCCAGCTTTATATCACACAACGGAACCAACAGACAAACTAACGAGCATCAAACACGTCCAGCTTTATATCACACGGAGAAATAGAATATTCCACGATCAGATCAACACGGGAGCCAACAAATCTTTCAACCTCAAAATTAGTAGGTACTTATTTGTAATTTAAAAAAGAGCCTTTATAACCTACTGTTAGCTAATTACCTCGTTACAAAGTGGTTGGTCATACCAAACGGCGTCTGCTGCTGAAATGGGCGACTTTTCGGTCTCTGGTGCCATGTGATAACGCTGTGAACGGATACAAACAAGGTACGTATGTAAGTAGGAATAACTGTGATAACGCTATGATACAAAACACAAAGGTACGTATGAACAAAACGCTGTGATACAAAGGTACGTAACATAGGAATCACTGTGATAACACTGTGATACACACAAAGGTACGTATGTAAGTAGGAATCACTGTGATAACGCTGTGATACAAACAAAGGTACGTATGTAAGTAGGAATCACTGTGATAACACTGTGATACAAACAAAGGTACGTATGTAAGTAGGAATCACTGTGATAACGCTGTGATACAAACAAAGGTACGTATGTAAGTAGGAATCACTGTGATAACACTGTGATACAAAGGTACGTATGTAAGTAGTAATCACTGTGATAACACTGTGATACAAAGGTACGTATGTAAGTAGGAATCACTGTGATAACACTGTGATACAAAGGTATGTATGTAAGTAGGAATCACTGTGATAACGCTGTGATACAAAGGTACGTATGTAAGTAGGAATTACTGTGATAACACTGTGATACACAGGTATGTATGTAAGTAGGAATCACTGTGATAACGCTGTGATACAAACAAAGGTACGTATGTAAGTAGGAATCACTGTGATAACGCTGTGATACAAAGGTACGTATGTAAGTAGGAATCACTGTGATAACACTGTGATACAAACATAACACTGTGATACAAAGGTACGTATGTAAGTAGGAATCACTGTGATAACGGTGTGATACAAAGGTATGTATGTAAGTAGGAATCACTGTGATAACGGTGTGATACAAAGGTACGTATGTAAGTAGGAATTACTGTGATAACGCTGTGATACAAAGGTATGTATGTAAGTAGGAATTACTGTGATAACGCTGTGATACAAAGGTACGTATGTAAGTAGGAATCACTGTGATAACGGTGTGATACAAAGGTACGTATGTAAGTAGGAATCACTGTGATAACGGTGTGATACAAAGGTAAGTATGTAAGTAGGAATCACTGTGATAACGCTGTGATACAAAGGTATGTATGTAAGTAGGAATCACTGTGATAACGCTGTGATACAAAGGTATGTATGTAAGTAGGAATCACTGTGATAACACTGTGATACAAAGGTACGTATGTAAGTAGGAATTACTGTGATAACACTGTGATACAAACAAAGGTACGTATGTAAGTAGTAATCACTGTGATAACACTGTGATACAAACAAAGGTACGTATGTAAGTAGGAATCATTGTGATAACACTGTGATACACACAAAGGTACGTATGTAAGTAGGAATCACTTTGATAACGCTGTGATACAAAGGTATGTATGTAAGTAGGAATCACTGTTATAACACTGTGATACAAACAAAGGTACGTATGTAAGTAGGAATCACTGTGATAACGCTGTGATACAAAGGTACGTATGTAAGTAGGAATCACTGTGATAACGCTGTGATACACACAAAGGTACGTATGTAAGTAGGAATCACTGTGATAACGCTGTGATACACACAAAGGTACGTATGTAAGTAGGAATCACTGTGATAACACTGTGATACACACAAAGGTACGTATGTAAGTAGAAATCACTGTGATAACACTGTGATACACACAAAGGTACGTATGTAAGTATTCATTATTGTGAGAAGTGTTAGAAATATGTGTTCTAAGCTATATAAAATATATAATGATACAACGGATCTTTATACAAATATCTTTTCAAGTTTTTGATGAGAAAAAATTAATGTTAATTCGCGCATCGACTCATACCTAAATTTAGAAGCAATCAAAATCTTATCTTTGTGGTGTTGATAACAAGAATTTGTACATAAAAGTCATCATTTCAATAGTGAATACTTAAATTCGTATATAAGCCTTTGCATTAATTACTTCCTGTATGATATTCATGCGAGTATAGATTGGTTCACAGTATAAGAATGGCATGAACAAAATAAAGCAAATGATAGTCATCATTTACATCTGATCAATCACTTTTATACATGTTTAGTGCAGGTGCCAAACATTTCTTTAAAAGTACGTAAATTAAAAGTCTGTAGCGACGTCTTGATTATCATCTAAACATTATAATTTCAATATGCTTTTCATTATCGTCATTTACCTCTGACTGAGGCACAAAATACATGAACAAAATATATCTGCAGTGCAGTGTACTTTACGCATGCGTGTCAATAAAGCAAGTTACGTATAGCATTCAGCGCCGGGAGGTGTTAATTAGCTCGTTGTTGTAGACACTCTCTGGTCATTTAGTGACAGTCTGTTTAATCGCAATTCTAAAACATGTAAACTTATATAATAACACCATCAAGCTCAGATCAAGCTGAGACACAGTTTGAAGTTAAAACAATGATTTTTCAGTCTTTTTGTGATCGTCATTTCCCCTAAATGTTCTGGTGTATTCCCTGTCTAATGACGATATACGTGTAGTATAGTATGAGCTGTATAACAATGCTGTATACTTTGTCCTGTATAACAATGCTGTATACATTGTCCTGTATAACACTGCTTTATACTTTGTCCTGTATAACAATGCTGTATACTTTGTCCTGTATAACAATGCTGTATACTTTGTGTCCTGTATAACAATGTGGTATACTTTGTCCTGTATAACAATACTGTAAACTTTGTGTCCTGTATAACAATGCTGTATACTTTGTCCTGTATAGTAATGCTGTATACTTTGTCCTGTATAACAATGCTGTATACTTTGTCCTGTATAACAATGCTGTATACTTTGTGTCCTGTACAACAATGTGGTATACGTTGTCCTGTATAACAATACTGTAAACTTTGTGTCCTGTGTAACAATGCTGTATACTTTGTCCTGTATAGTAATGCTGTATACTTTGTCCTGTATAACCATGCTGTATACTTTGTCCTGTATAACAATGCTGTATACTTTGTCCTGTATAACACTGGCGTATACTTTGTCCTGTATAACAATGCTGTATACTTTGTGTCCTGTATAACAATGTTTTATACTTTGTCCTGTACAACAATGCTGTAAACTTTGTCCTGTATAACCATGCTGTATACTTTGTCCTGTATAACAATGCTGTATACTTTGTCCTGTATAACAATGCTGTATACTTTGTCCTGTAAAACAATGCTGTATACTTTGTCCTGTATAACAATGCTGTATACTTTGTGTCCTGTATAACAATGCTGTATACTTTGTGTCCTGTATAACAATGCTATGATTTATTTATTGAAGCTGTTATATATTTGTGACGCTGTGATATATTTGTGATGCTGTTATATATTTTGTTGACGCAGTGATATGTTTGTGACGCTGTTATATATTTGTGACACTGTGATATATTTGTGAACACTGTGATATATATGTGACGCTGTGATATATTTGTGACGCAGTTATATTTTTGTGATGCTGTAATATATTTTGTGATAAATTTGTTGACGCTGTGATATATTTTGTTGACGCTGTGATATATTTGTGACGCTGTGATATATTTTGTTGACGCTGTGATATATTTGTGACGCTGTGATATATTTTTTGACGCTGTGATATATTTTGTTGACACTGTGATATATTTTGTTGAAGCTGTGATATATTTGTGACGCTGTGATATATTTTTTGACGCTGTGATATATTTTGTTGACGGTGTGATATATTTTGTTGAGGCTGTGATATATTTGTGACGCTGTGATATATTTTGTTGACACTGTGATATATTTTGTTGACGCTGTGATATATTTGTGATGCTGTGATATATTTTGTTGACGCTGTGATATATTTGTGACGCTGTGATATATTTTGTTGACGCTGTGATATATTTGTACGCTGTGATATATTTGTGACGCTGTGATATATTTGTGACGCTGTGATATATTTGTGACGATGTTATATATTTTGTTGACGCTGTGACATATTTTGTTGACGCTGTGATATATTTTGTTGACGCTGTGATATATTTTGTTGACGCTGTGATATATTTTGTTGACGCTGTGATATATTTTTTGACGCTGTGATATATTTTGTTGACACTGTGATATATTTTGTTGACGCTGTGATATATTTTGTTGACACTGTGATATATTTTGTTGACACTGTGATATATTTTGTTGACGCTGTTATTTTGTTGACGCTGTGATATATTTGTAACGCTGTGATATATTTTGTTGACGCTGTGATATATTTTGTTGACGCTGTGATATATTTGTGACGCTGTGATATATTTTGTTGACGCTGTGATATATTTGTGACGCTGTGATATATTTGTGATGCTGTGATATATTTGTGACGCTGTGATATATTTTGTTGACGCTGTGATATATTTGTGACGCTGTGATATATTTTTTGTTGACGCTGTGATATATTTGTTGACGCTGTGATATATTTTGTTGACTGTGATATATTTGTGATGCTGTGATATATTTGTGACGCTGTGATATATTTTGTTACGCTGTGATATATTTTGTTGACGCTGTGATATATTTGTGACGATGTTATATATTTGTGACGCTGTGATATATTTTGTTGACGCTGTGATGTATTTTGTTGACGCTGTGATATATTTGTGACGCTGTGATATATATTGTTGACGCTGTGATATATTTGTGACGCTGTGATATATTTGTGATGCTGTGATATATTTGTGACGCTGTGATATATTTTGTTGACGCTGTGATATATTTTGTTGACACTGTGATATATATTTTTGTTGACGCTGTGATATATTTGTGACGCTGTGATATATTTGTGGCGCTGTGATATATTTGTTGACGCTGTGACATATTTGTGACGCTGTGATATATTTGTGACGATGTTATATATTTGTGACGCTGTGATATATTTTGTTGACGCTGTGATGTATTTTGTTGACGCTGTGATATATTTGTGACGCTGTGATATATTTTGTTGACGCTGTGATATATTTGTGATGCTGTGATATATTTTTGACGCTGTGATATATTTGTGATGCTGTGATATATTTGTGATGCTGTGATATATTTTTGACGCTGTGATATATTTGTGATGCTGTGATATATTTGTGACGCTGTGATATATTTTGTTGACGCTGTGATATATTTTGTTGACGCTGTGATATATTTTGTTGACGCTGTGATATATTTGTGACGCTGTGATATATTTGTGATGCTGTAATATATTTTGTGATAAATTTGTTGACGCTGTGATATATTTTGTTGACGCTGTGATATATTTTGTTGACGCTGTGATATATTTTGTTGACACTGTGATATATTTTGTTGACGCTGTGATATATTTTGTTGACGCTGTGATATATTTGTGATGCTGTGATATATTTGTGACGCTGTGATATATTTTGTTGACGCTGTGATATATTTGATGACGCTGTGATATATTTGTGACGCTGTGATATATTTGTGGCGCTGTGATATATTTGTTGACGCTGTGACATATTTGTGACGCTGTGATGTATTTATGACGCTGTAATATATTTGTGACGCTGTGATATATTTTGTTGACGCTGTGATATATTTGTGACGCTGTGATATATTTTGTTGACGCTGTGATATATTTGTGACGCTGTGATATATTTTTGACGCTGTGATATATTTGTGATGCTGTGATATATTTGTGACGCTGTGATATATTTTGTTGACGCTGTGATATATTTTGTTGACGCTGTGATATATTTGTGACGCTGTGATATATTTTGTTACGCTGTGATATATTTTGTTGACGCTGTGATTTATTTGTTGACGCTGTGATATATTTGTGATGCTGTGATATATTTGTGACGCTGTAATATATTTTGTTGATGCTGTGATATATTTTGTTGACGCTATATATTTGTTGACGCTGTGATATATTTGTTGACGCTGTGATATATTTTGGTGATGCTGTGATATATTTATGACGCTGTTATATATTTATGATGCTGTGATATATTTGTGACGCTGTGATATATTTGTGACGCTGTGATATATTTTGTTGAACGCTGTGATATATATGTGATGATGTTATATATTTGTGACGCTGTGATATATTTGTGACGATGTGATATATTTGTGACGCTGTGATATATTTGTGATGCTGTGATATATTTGTTGACGCTGTGATATATTTGTGACGCTGTTATATATTTTGTTGACGCTGTGATATATTTGTGACGCTGTGATGCATTTATGACGCTGTAATATATTTTTGACGCTGTGATATATTTGTGACGATGTGATATATTTGTGACGCTGTGATATATTTGTGATGCTGTAATATATTTTGTGATTAATTTGTTGACGCTGTGATATATTTTGTTGACACTGTGATATATTTTGTTGACGCTGTGATATATTTTGTTGACGCTGTGATATATTTGTGACGCTGTGATATATTTTGTTGACGCTGTGATATATTTTGTTGACGCTGTGATATATTTGTGACGCTGTGATATATTTTGTTGACGCTGTGATATATTTGTGACGCTGTGATATATTTGTGATGCTGTGATATATTTGTGACGCTGTGATATATTTGTGATGCTGTGATATATTTGTGACGCTGTGATATATTTTGTTGACGCTGTGATATATTTTGTTGACACTGTGATATATATATGTGATATATTTGTGACGCTGTGATATATTTGTGGCGCTGTGATATATTTGTTGACGCTGTGACATATTTGTGACGCTGTGATATATTTGTGACGATGTTATATCTTTGTGACGCTGTGATATGTTTTGTTGACGCTGTGATATATTTTGTTGACGCTGTGATATATTTGTGACGCTGTGATATATTTTGTTGACGCTGTGATATATTTGTGACGCTGTGATATATTTGTGATGCTGTAATATATTTTGTGATAAATTTGTTGACGCTGTGATATATTTTGTTGACACTGTGATATATTTTGTTGACGCTGTGATATATTTTGTTGACGCTGTGATATATTTTGTTGACGCTGTGATATATTTGTGACGCTGTGATATATTTGTGACGCTGTGATATATTTTGTTGACGCTGTGATATATTTGATGACGCTGTGATATATTTGTGACGCTGTGATATATTTGTGGCGCTGTGATATATTTGTTGACGCTGTGACATATTTGTGACGCTGTGATGTATTTATGACGCTGTAATATATTTGTGACGCTGTGATATATTTTGTTGACGCTGTGATATATTTGTGACGCTGTGATATATTTTGTTGACGCTGTGATATATTTGTGACGCTGTGATATATTTTTGACGCTGTGATATATTTGTGATGCTGTGATATATTTGTGACGCTGTAATATATTTTGTTGATGCTGTGATATATTTTGTTGACGCTGTGATATATTTTTTGTTGACGCTGTGATTTATTTGTTGACGCTGTGATATATTTTGTTGATGCTGTGATATATTTATGACGCTGTTATATATTTATGATGCTGTGATATATTTGTGACGCTGTGATATATTTGTGACGCTGTGATATATTTTGTTGAACGCTGTGATATATATGTGATGATGTTATATATTTGTGACGCTGTGATATATTTGTGACGATGTGATATATTTGTGACGCTGTGATATATTTGTGACGCTGTGATATATTTGTTGACGCTGTGATATATTTGTGACGCTGTTATATATTTTGTTGACGCTGTGATATATTTGTGACGCTGTGATGTATTTATGACGCTGTAATATATTTGTGACGCTGTGATATATTTGTGACGATGTGATATATTTGTGACGCTGTGATATATTTGTGATGCTGTAATATATTTTGTGATAAATTTGTTGACGCTGTGATATATTTTGTTGACACTGTGATATATTTTGTTGACGCTGTGATATATTTTGTTGACGCTGTGATATATTTTGTTGACGCTGTGATATATTTTGTTGACGCTGTGATATATTTGTGACGCTGTGATATATTTTGTTGACGCTGTGATATATTTGTGACGCTGTGATATATTTGTGATGCTGTGATATATTTGTGACGCTGTGATATATTTGTGATGCTGTGATATATTTGTGACGCTGTGATATATTTTGTTGACGCTGTGATATATTTTGTTGACACTGTGATATATATTTTTGTTGAGGCTGTGATATATTTGATGACGCTGTGATATATTTGTGACGCTGTGATATATTTGTGATGCTGTGATATATTTGTTGACGCTGTGATATATTTTGTTGACGCTGTGATATATTTGTGACGCTGTGATATATTTTTTGTTGACGCTGTGATTTATTTGTTGACGCTGTGATATATTTGTGATGCTGTGATATATTTGTGACGCTGTGATATATTTTGTTACGCTGTGATATATTTTGTTGACGCTGTGATTTATTTGTTGACGCTGTGATATATTTGTGATGCTGTGATATATTTGTGACGCTGTAATATATTTTGTTGATGCTGTGATATATTTTGTTGACGCTGTGATATATTTTTTGTTGACGCTGTGATTTATTTGTTGACGCTGTGATATATTTTGTTGATGCTGTGATATATTTATGACGCTGTCATGTATTTATGATGCTGTGATATATTTGTGACGCTGTGATATATTTGTGACGCTGTGATATATTTTGTTGAACGCTGTGATATATATGTGATGATGTTATATATTTGTGACGCTGTGATATATTTGTGACGATGTGATATATTTGTGACGCTGTGATATATTTGTGACGCTGTGTTATATTTGTGATGCTGTGATATATTTGTTGACGCTGTGATATATTTGTGACGCTGTTATATATTTTGTTGACGCTGTGATATATTTGTGACGCTGTGATATATTTGTGACGCTGTGATATATTTGTGACGCTGTGATATATTTGTGACGCTGTGATATATTTGTGATGCTGTGATATATTTGTTGACGCTGTGATATATTTGTGACGCTGTTATATATTTTGTTGACGCTGTGATATATTTGTGACGCTGTGATGTATTTATGACGCTGTAATATATTTGTGACGCTGTGATATATTTGTGACGATGTGATATATTTGTGACGCTGTGATATATTTGTGACGCTGTGATATATTTATGACGCTGTGATATATTTGTGACGCTGTGATATATTCGTGACGCTGTAATATATTTGTTGACGCTGTGATATATTGTGACGCTACTTTGTAAATGTTCTGTTATGTAAAATATCGTAAGATCGAAAGCGGAAGTTCATGAATTTCAAGACGGAATGTGTTTCGTGTGTGACGTATTCGGTCCTGATATTCTTTGTATAACTGAAATGTAGATATTAAACTCTAACACTAATCTACTCGCCCTCACACGTACACACAATGTTCTAGACTACACCGTCCCATCACTTTTAATGGTAACTCACATTTTACACGAGTTGTGCCCAGTAGAGAGAATAACGGCGTTCTCCTGATACGTGACGTCATAGACAGGACACATGTCGCTCTTTCTGCCTATGGTAGTGATATTCACCGCTGGTGAGGGGGAGAGAGCGGTTGGTTAGTGGGATACATGCAAATTTTACAGAATTGTTATTAAAAAGGTGCAGCTATGACACTTTGGTTTGTTGTTGGCGCGTGCTTAGCGTGCGCTCATCTCAGTAACATTTGATCGCTTGACTTATCTGGCGAATAATTAACGCAGATGGACAAAAGTGCAGCAAAGTAATGTTTTTCAACATTTGAACAATTAAGCATAAGCGCGTGTGATCAAGCTGCTACAATGGATTGTAAGTTCTCTTACCATAAGTTTGAATTAGTTAACTTTATATTATTGATAAACCAGAAAAAAAAGATATGAAATACATAAATGGACGCTAATTATGTAGATATCAAAAATCTTTGGATGTAACGAAGTATTTCCGGTTGCAAAAAGCGAAATATGCAGTATTCCTGTGTTTCTCACTTACCAATATAAAATGTTAAAACGATGAGGAATATCGTGCAGTACAAATGTCCATTACCCGAATTAAGTAACAAACACAATACTTACATCTCCAATGTCCCTCTTTTTCCAAAACTAATTCTCGTGCTTCCTTTCTCGCAGCTGCTTTCCATGCCCCTGTCCCACCCATGCCTTCCATCCATGAAGCGCCAAATCCTCCAGGGTTTGGTCCTTGTGTTCTACGTAGTGCTTTCGGTTGTATCTGAGCGCCCGACTGAGGTCCTGCGGTGTCCGACGCGGTTTGTTGTTCTCCCTCACCTTTGTTGAGTCCGGCTCGGTTTCCTGCTGCTTCAAGGAACGTTGGTTGTGTGGTGCGTTTTGTGTTAGCATCTTTATGCGGTGGATTGGGACTATATTCTGACCACGAGTTCGATGTAGTACTAGTACTAGCCTTGTCGGTGCCTACTTGAGACTGCACGATGTTTTTGTTTCCTGCAATATTCAACCCATTGTTCTCTGTCTTGATAGCACTTTGATTCACAATTTTGTTACCTTTAGATCCCTTAGGAACCTTTACATATTCCTGGGTACTTGACCCAATTTCTTCCACTGGTCTCGCCTCTCCATTCACACTTTTAATCTCCATTCGATGCGCCCCAAAATGAATATCGTTAGCTCTTCCTGACGCGTGGAATCTTGGGTAAGGTGTCCTATTTTTGGTATTTTCTAACTTTGTGTTCCCTAATAATGAGTTTACCGATGGTGATTTGGCGGTTCCAGGGTCCCTGATGTTGATTATGCCGTGTATATTTGCATTGCTATTGAGAAGTACTTCGGCATCAACTCCATCTACGATACTACCATGACCCGGGGCCATATCAATAGTATTAGGATTTTTACCTAAGACAGACGTTGACGACATTCTAGCTATGACGTCATTCTTTGGAACTCCTTTCACGTGTTGCCCTTGACCTTGACGATTGGCCCTTTCAATATCACGGAGTAAGTTAATTACTTGGGGATTATCCGATGATAATGTGTTATCGATGTTTGTGATAAGCCCACTATTGCCTCGGTTTCCCGCAACACCCAAACTGTTCTCTGTTGTCATCTCAATGAAGTGCTTGATCACTGTGGAGGGGTGTTGTTGATCGAGCAGACTCTTGATTTTGTTCAGATGCTCGTTGTTTCCCGTGACTTGTTTACCGACAGGTTGAATGTTGTTATCCTGTCTCCATGGATGTTCGTTGTTATTTGATGGCCGGATTACAGCAGGACCAGTATGAGATGTTTTTGAATTCGGATTAATGACCGGAAATGTACTCGTCTCAACACTACGACTTCTTGCCTTATTCGGTATTGCTCGAGAAACGTCTGGATTAGATACCCGTTGAGTTGCTCTGCTCCCTTGAGGTACTTTTGTTGGTTTTGGTTTGTAGATGAAATCCCCTCGGTGAAGGCTGTTTCCCCAATCATTTGTTTTGAGATTTGGCACACTGGCATCGGATACGTCAAGTTTCATTGCTACAGTCACGTGATCAGTATCGGTCCTGGTTGGTCTTTTACTGACTCTAGTACCGTCCACTACAGGTTTCTCTGTGACGTACTCACTATCCATAGGACGTTGTCTAGTGTTGTGTTCATTAGGATACACCTGTCTCCCTCTGCCTGCAGGTTGTGGTAAAGACGCACTATTAATATCTTTGAAAACGGGTTGTTCACCTTGGTATGGAAAAGAACCTGTTGGTTTCTGGTTGGGAAGTTTGTTAGATCGAATCGGCTGTTTACTTGATCGTACTGGTGGATGACTTTGACCTTTACCGGAAGGTGTCGCATCAGATGCACGCTGAGGTAACTGATCTGGAACTTTTGGATCGACATTGTTAAGTGTTGACGACCCCGAAGGACCTCTCCACCTGGGCTCTACAGGTCGATGAACATTGTTTCCCGGTTTCATATTAACACGTCTTGGCTGTTTATATGGAGGCTGATTTGAGGTTCTGCCATTCCAGGGATCCATCTGTGCACCCCGCCTGTCTAGTGTGTTGTCATTCAGTCGGGCGAGACCGGACGACCATGTCTCTTTATTTCTTTGATTATTCTGCCACTTGTTCTGGTTTTGGTTTTGGTTTGTGCGATGCGATGGTTGCCATGGCTTCTGTGTTTGAATTTCTGGTGGGTCAACCCAATTATCATTCGGATATTGAGGTGAACTTTTTGTCCTCAATGGTTCATGCACAGGCTGTTCCTGGTTTTGTCCACTAGGTGGTGCTGGTCTTACCGGCTGTTTTATCCATCCGGAAGTTGACGCTGCATTAGCCGAAGTAGGGTCAGAATGCTTCATTGGAGCCGATTCTGGACCGGAAGTAGAACCTGGAATGCCCAAACGGTTATATAGATTTTGTCTGATCACAGATGGGCTACGTCCAGTAGGGGTCGCAGTTCTCACCCAAGAAGGAGACCGCCCTCCATGAAAACTCGGTCTAATCGATGGTTCCTGTCTTTGCTGCTGTTTGTTATCTAACACTGCTTTTGGTTGATTGTTGATTGGTGTTGTATCCAGCCATGCATTCCTCTGCACATTTTCGTTAGGAATGCGCCCAATATCTGTTCGTATCACAGTATTAATATCACCATTTTCAACAGGGCGAGGTCTCGTTCCAGGAAATGCCTTTCTTTTGTTTTCAGGACCAGTGCCCGAGTCAGATTTTGCCTGACCTTGGTTTTGGGTCTGTTTTCTGTCAGGAGAACCATTAAACCAGGACTGCCGAGGTTTGATGCCATTTCCTTGACCGCTTCCATCAACAGAACTAGCATATATTGTCCATCCGTTTTTATCAGTTGCGTTATTTCGATATGGTTTCTGACCTATATTCACCCAACTTCCAGGTAGTTTAGCATCCGTTGTTCTGCTTCCCTGTCCAGTCTGATGCGGTTTGTTCGTCTTTGTCGCCATTCCACTCTCCCATGTATCCACTGTCGCTTTGTTTACTTTTGGAGCTGCTGTTGTCGTTCTATCTTCCATTTCATACTCTCCTGTAGAATGTCCGAGAACGGTAACCCTTCCACTAGTAACGGAACCACCTGGAGATTTTGTCGTTAGGTCCTCTGCTTCGATCTCATGTTCTGTTGTCATTGTCTTGGCATTTGAGACTCCGGAGGGTGTAGTTCGGTCCTCTACTTCAACAGGTTCGTAGTCCGTACCCATTGATGGTGTTCGAGCACGCCCTTGTGGCAGTCTACCGTCGGCTTCATATTCACCCGTTTTACCATGATTTTGGGCATTACTGTGACCTTGACCTCCAATAGAGTTACTTGTCGGGGTCACGTCCTCAGGTTCATACTCTTCTCCTAAATTGTTTTGTTGTTGATGACGCTGATAATCTGCCCATGAACGATATCTGTGCTGTCCATTTTGACCTCGACCTCTAAGTTGACTTCCTTGACCTCTGTGAATACCCTGTTGACTTTGCTGATGATTGGGACTACGTTTTTCGTAATTCAGTCCTTGGTTATTCTGCATGTTCTGGTTCCAGTGCTCTAATCCATCTCTATTTGATCCGTTTCCGGTCCATGTCGAAGATCCAGATCCGGATTGTCTCGGTGAGTTTTCACCGGTATCGATCCCATTTCCGGTTCCGGATTCACCATTGTACACATATTCCTCTCCTTCATTGTTAGAGGTCCTTCCTGACGGCCGGCTTTCGAACCCATTATCAAAATTCTGATTATCATTTTGTCCATTTTCTATATAAGTACTGTATGTACTCTCTTCAATCGGGACTGCTATCTCCTCACTACTGCTATCGTCGGATTCGTCGCTGTTATCGGCGGACTGAACAAAGCGACCATACCGCCCCTTTAAAGAAGTTCGGTTCTGATTTGTTTGTTGTTTTGGTAAAGCGGTGCTACTTATGTCCTTATTGTTAAGGTCGTATTTATCAAGGTCTTCCATATTTGACCAAAGCCATTTCCAGCCTCCACCATTACCAAGTCCGAATCCCCACTGACATTCCACAGGAGAAAAACCTGGAATAACAGCATTACTTCGATACTCAGTAACATACTGACATAGTGCAAAATTAGAAATATCAACAACGACACACTGCAAAATAAAAAAAACAACAACAACAATGACATACTGCAAAATAAAAAAAAACAACAACAACAATGACATACTGCAAAATAAAAATATCAACAATGACATACTGCAAAATTAAGAATATCAACAATGACATACTGCAAAATTAAGAATATCAACAATGACATACTGCAAAATTAAGAATATCAACTATGACATACTGCAAAATACAAATGTCTTAAGATATAAGTTAGTTCTTCTGATAAATCATGAATTGTTCTACCGGGATTTTGATATTTAAAACAATCCTTTCATGTCCTCCACAATTTTGGAAATCGGTCATTTCACGAATTCTGTGAAAATAGACTTTTGATGAGAACAAGTTTTGAGAACAATGAAAACATCCGTATTCATGTCAGTACAGTGTATGTATATAAGTCTGATCTGAGAACGTAGATATCGGGAAAAGGTTCTCATAAAATAGATATTGATTAGTACGTAAAGATTTTCTGTAAAAAAAAAAACCACGATATATTACTGATTAAATGCATTGAACGGTACGTAACTAGAACATGTTTTATAGTAAAACAAACAACAGCTAAAAATGCAATTATATATTGAAATAAAAAGAAGTTAATGAACACATAAGTTAGAAAACCTATTGGCAAACTACACAAGCATAGTATCTTTTTCAGTTTCATTGTTGATGCTTTGTTACATATCTTAATTCACAATTCAAAATGTCGACTTACCAATCCATGATTTTACAGCAGTGTGTATTTACATATACTGACGTTTCTAAATCACACTGTCTTTTCCTCAATTATAACGGGCAAATAAATAAACTTTAACTGATACTACATCAAATCACGATGATATTATCGGGAAAAAATATCATTCTTCAAATCTATATCCGAATTTTACTTGGTGTTGACCTTGATGGGCATCAGAAATGAGATATTCTGTGATTATTCCGTGACTTCATTTAAACTGATAAAGACTGGGCCAACATTCCTGCGGGAATCATTTCATTTTCTCGTCAGATTTACACAAACATTATTTTTGTTTGATTCTCATGTTCATTTTTAATACCAAACACCTGCCTAAGTAAGGGATATAGCATTTTACAAGTTTGTATTCTTATGTCGCTCATACTGTTGAAAATTGAAAAAATGGAAAGTTAAAAAAATAAAAATGTGAAATAGTTGATTACTATCATTGGATATTACACCAGAAATTCAATGTCACGTGATTACTATTGATTTATTCATCATTCCAAATATATTTCCATGTTAATTTCAACACTCAGTATGGTTAATGTTAAAAAGAGATATGTAATTTGTAATCTAAAATCAAATATCGAAATATCATAAGTCCATTTTTTGCAAAAGCAATAACACAATGTAAAAAAGGAAAGGATTGATCATTTTCGGAGTATCAATTTATCAAACTGGCGAAATCTTTCTCAAGGATGTGAATGCTTATGTGTCAATTATGTCTGTGATTGACATATCATCTGTGGACTGACACCAATACAAACAGGTGTAAATTCCAGGTATCGTACATTTTGTTTACGCTTTAAATTTTATGGTCTAACTGGTTTTTTTTACATCGTCATCAATTAAATCACTAATACAGGTTAAAATATTTTGCTAACTGACTATATATATATCTGATCGTTATACAAGATACCGTGATCCTCTAGCCGTGACGTCATACATTTACAAATGAAATGGACAACTTCCGGTGACATGGCCGCGGTGAAAAGACGAAAACTGACATCTATGTGTATCAACCAATTAAAACCAACAACAAAAAAATTACTTTTTGTTTAATTTATG